GTTCATAAGAGCAAATCCCATTGAATATAAAATGTCAGCTTTACCTAGTATTAGAACTGACACAAATCTGAAACCATTTGAAGTCACTGGTTTAGACTGTGCAGGCCCATTTACCGTCTACGCAGCTAATGGTCATCAAAAGAAAGTTTGGATTCTAATCCTTACTTGTGCACTAACAAGATTTGTCTATTTGCATATTTTAGATAATCTTACTTCATTGGCTGTATTGGAAGCAATTATGGTCTTTTGGACAAGCCATGGACCAGTTAAGCAATTTATTTCCGACAACGGAACTAACTTCGTAGGAGCCGCTAATATCATTCAAAGTGATGCACGTCAAATAGTTCAATTTCTCAAGGATACACAAAAGGTTCTCGAGAGCGAATTAGCAGCGAAATCGTACGCATCATGGACTTTCATACCTGTTCAATCACCGTGGTTTGGAGCTTTCTATGAACGTCTTATACAAACTGTTAAGAAATCCATTGCATCAGCAATTGAAGGAAGAAAAATCAGCAGAATCTCATTCAACATTGCATTACAGGAAGCAGCTCATCGTATAAATTGTCGACCACTAACGCATAATCCAGTTAGTGCTGAGGAGGAGGAAGTTCTGACTCCACATCATTTGGCAAAGAATAGAAGTGGATGGCCACTATTGCCATCAATTCATAAATATAAAGAGATTCCGGATCCATTAGGAGATCGTGATCAATACAGACGCGGAAGAATATTCGCTGATGAAATAACAAAAAAGTTCACAACTCAATATTTGCCAATATTGACAAAACGAACAAAATGGTTCAAAGAATTTGAACCCATTAAAACTGGAGATTTAGTTCTCATTATAGATCCAAATAAGACAAGGAAAGCTTGGGAACGTGCAAGAGTACAGCAAGTGTACTACAGCAAAGACAATAACGGAAGAGTTGTTGATCTAATATTACCTGATGGCTCCATAAGAAAGAATAGAAGCGCCAAGCGCTTAGCCAAAATAGAAATAAAATCTATGTGACTAATCACATACGATTTGCTACCAAATGAATTAATATTATTATTAGCATTCAATGCTATTCTCTCGTGCAAGGCGAGAATTCTAATCATTTCTCTTTTTCTCTTCTCATTTACAGACATTGAAATAATGGGGAAGAAATCTGTTGCTAAATTACCATCACCTTACTATATCCTTCGAGTCGATAGAATACCAACAAACGTGACGTTTTATCAACTTCTATCAAGAATCGCACCATATTCTCGGTTTATAATTGGAGTTGCAAGAACTGCCGATTATCGTAATAAACGATTAGGAAGCACGATATATTTTTATTGCACATCACTCATCGACGCTAGATTTATAACACAAACTGATATTCGCTTTGTTGAAGATGGCAGAGACGCTCAATATTGTCTAATAATGGACTCTGTGCTTGGACGTGCATCATTAAGTCATTTAAGTATGGAAGATAGATTCCACCAGACTCCAGTCACAGTACATGTCAAAGGTTTAGAGAGACAATTTGGTCCAGCCGGCTCAACAACGTATTTGATGCAGATGTTGCCACAATATGAAATCGGTGGAGTTATAACGTCATTTAGAATAAATTTTGATGTACGACGTCAATCAACACGTGAAGATGCTTTTATTACATTCCTATATCAACGAGATGGTCGATCAGTTGGTGGAGAATTTGAGCCAATTGAGCATATCTATAGAGGACGCAATATTTCATGTATGTTGAGTGATAACGTTCCAATGATGGTTGGATTACCTGAAGCATATAATTTGACAAATGGCCTTTGTGAATGGAACTTAAATGCTGAAAATATTAATCAGCTAATTATACGTCGTAGATCTCCAGCTGTGCAAGACAGTAATCGTGAGAGCAACAATAAAACGACAAATCAATCATTAAATGTGACACAAAAATCATGTCGCCAAGTATTATCGTCAATTATTCAACGTCCAGTAGTTCAACAACAAGCAACTCGAAAGCTTGTTCCATTAGTTGCGTCTATTATCGTTCGTCCACATCAACCTTCAACAACGACAGTTAATCCATCAGCATCAACAAAATCGACAAATCCATCCACATTAGCTTCATCAAATCCGTCTACATCGAAAGCTCCTATTCCTGCAAGAGGAAAGGATGCTAAAAGTCCACCCATAAATAATTGGTTAAAGGCAAAGTCAAAGACATTTAAGCAGAATGATAAAGTCTCGACTAAGGCGGTACAGAGCAAAAATAAAGTTTCCAAACAAAAGAAAGTGGAACTAATGTTAAATTCGTCAGAAGAGGAAATTATAATGGTAACAAAGAAGAAGGATGAGAACATAACACAACGTGCAACGAGATCATCGAGAAATAGAGCAACAGAATCGTCAGCAGCACCTCCAGAATCAGAAGATGAAGGACGTCTGATTATTAATGAGATAGTAAACTTATCAGATGATGAAGAAGAACAGAAAAAGGATGTCTAATCATGCATTCGGCGCGGTGGGAGGATGTCGTTAAGCCAAACGACAGTTTCTATATTTTATAAATTCATTAAAACAATTCATGAATTGCATTTATATTGTTAGCTTAATAATTTCATACCGAATAATGCCACCGTATTATTTTACATCATTTTATTTGTTATGTTATAAGCTTTAATTTGGTATATAATTGAAAGCATTTGGGCAATATGTTTACAAGAAACATATTGATTTATGAGACGCTTCACGTCAAATTTATTCTTTATTTGTAACGGTTTTTTGAGATTTAAATACTAAAACCGTACAAATTCCTTTTTTGAACGGAATGTGTTCAACATTTTTGAATTAGTTCAAATTAATAAGTCGCGAGGAGAAGTCGCATATTCGGACAAATTTGTTGAAAATTTTACCATCTTTTCCCATCTTTTCCCATCATTTTTTCATCACTAATTAATTAAATAAAGAAGTCGATTAGCAAGTAATCGCATTGTGAAATATTAATAAACGAAAAGTGGATTTTAGATACAATTTGAACGTTACTTTTCACTCGTCGACAGTCTGCAGTAAAATTTGTAAACGAAAATTGCTTATGTCAGATATACAGTAGTGTGAACATGAAGATTTTATCTCAATATTTTACGAAGGATACATATGTATAATAAAATTAAATTATGTAAAGGACAATATGAATACAGCGATCAAGACATAAACCGCTTTTTATGAGAGGAACAATATACACTCAAAGAAATACTTTGCTCTTTAGAATTTAATTCCTTTAATATATATAAAATTAATTTTAGTGGATAGACAATTTTAGAAATTTTATTGAAAGATCTCCAACGAACTACTAGAATTGTGCTCAATATAAAGTTCCCTTAAAAAAATTACAAAATTTTATGTAGGAAAGAGTGAAGAGCATCTTAAAGAAAATCCGAAACAAGTTGCGCCAACATTAATTTAGCGTTGAGATGAAAAGGAAATGGCGAACATAAAGAACAATTTAAAGTAAGATTTCCTGCTCTTTTATTTAAAAGGTACTCAATTTTATCATCAAGATAATATTTTTTTTATATGAAAATTAATTTAAAAGGAGCTTACAGGTTTTCCTTACTAGCCTCATACTTATACATACACGAATAAATCTCATGAAAAATTTTCAATATACTGCAAGCATTTTCTTTTTGCTTTTCAATTCATTTTTTGACACTTTTACACTTATATTTTAACTATAAAATAAAAAACCTTAAAAAGGAAACATATCACTCACTATGTGACTTTAGAATAAAAGCTCTTTGTTTTAGTAATTTAACTTCTCACTATAATTTTTTTTTCTTTCCTTCCAACAAAATTCACTTACTGTTGCTATTTTTCCGACCGCTTTTTTCAAGACTTCAATGAATTCTGAATTTCGGGTTGTTGGCAAATTTTTTTTATCGTTATCGTGACTTTTAGTCCTGACTGGAGATGTATGTGTGAGAAATGTTGGAGGGGAGAAATAGAGCTTTTGGTTTCAATAATGTTCAGCTCGAGAAAGCAGTTTTTATCAATGAAAATGCGCAACAATCTAGGCTCCTTGATATTTTCTCCTTTCCATTATTCAATAATAACGACTTAATACATACATGTACTTTACAATTCGTGTTCGTCATTGCGCTTATTCACACAAATACACTTTCATTCATTCTCCTTAAGTGTATATACATATATATATTGCCTGTTGAATTATTTCATTTTCCTCATCCTGTGAATTAATATCTATGAACCGTTCCAACATAATTATTATATGAGCAGAACACCCATCTAAATTATTTTACAAACATTTTATAATAAAATCATTTCATTAATTGCTTAATTGAGTTACAAGACATTTATTAAATATGATGTAATTATAATGAAAGAATGTGCTGGTCATTGAAAGCTTTTTGTTGCCTTAGTAATGAACAGTATGAACTTTATGTTGCCAATTCATAATTTTATTTTTAGCAAAAAAACCTTTTCATATTTACTCCCTCTTTCACTGTTTTATTGCATTCGCGTGTCTAAAAATAGAATAGTTGTTTGTAGAGGAAATGCTATGTTTCATTCCGTTTAATTATTCTTCGCAAAACTCTTTTTATTTATTTCGTTCTACAAATACTCATGCAATTTCATTCATAGAAGCATGAATGAAAATTTTCTGATTTTCAGGGGAATGCCAATTTTCCCACCTACGCTATCTATCTTTGATTCAAACATGTAAGCATGTATAAGAAGCTTGTCTTGGTTGATATTTTTACATTTGTGTAGGCGTTCAGAACGAATATAATTTTTCTTCTCCAGATTTGTGTTCTGCTTGTTCTATTCGTTCATCTAGATATGTTTAATGTACGTAGTGTATGACGTCATAGAAAAGCTGGGCTCCTTGAATTGTGAATTTCATTCATAAAATTTCATTTTTTATTTGTTATACCTATTTGTTTTAAAATAATCCTAGGATCTGAAACATTTTTATGAAATAAAAGGATAAACTGAAGGCAATTTTTTTTTATAGATTTCTTTATTATTATCTATTAAATTATAATCACAAAGTCTTTAATAAAAAAAGAGAAAAAAAAATAGATAACAATAAGAAGAATAGAAAAACGAATTCCAAATGGATTTAAAGTTCTGTATGCGAGTCTTTTGCAGCTTCTTCTGTAAAAAAATTCAAATTATAAGTAAATCAATGATAATAGGAAGTATTTAGATCCAAACCTTTTTTCTGTTTGCTTGCTGATTGCTCTTGGTGTTGCTCATCATCAATTCTTGCCATGAGGTTCTTTATTTCTGCATCATAATCTTTCCATTCCGGAACTATGCGTTGAGCTGCACTTAATTTAGCTTCCTTTGTCATTGGATTATTGCATAAATCTTTTTTATTGAATAGGAATTAGTAGATTTATGTTAATTTAAAGATTTTATTTATGAGGATATTACCTATTGTTTTAGCATTTTTTAAGCTTTCATCTGAGCACCATGTCTCGCACCAAAGCCATTCTTGGGGTAATGATTTTATAGGGACTTGATGAATCATATTATTCGGTAAATCCTGATCCAAGTTTGCCAAACTGTTTGCATCTTGACTAAGTGCTTGATATTGACCTATATTTAATACAATGTTTGGATATGAGAATTATTTTGTCTAGTTATGTTCATTCATTTTATAAATACCTCTTAATCTATCGCCTGCAGCTATTTTTCTGAATTTCTTCAAATCGACAACATATAAAGCACTAATGTGATATCTGAGAAGAAGAAAAAAAAAGTTAAAGTTTAGAAAAATATTCTTGTTATATCTTTAAAAAATAAGACATACTTTCGTCCTTGTAAATGATTTCTCCAGTAGCCCGAGTTCCAAAATCTGAAATTATATAATTTATATTGAAAATAGAATTGCAAAAAACCTTTTTAAGTTTTCTTTTCTAAACAACCCACCTAAAACCGTCCATTTCAGTACGGTCGCTACAGAATGGAGTATAGGCATAAGGAGCCCCATTCAAATCCATGTTATACAATTCTTTGATATCTGCTCTCACAATTTGATCCGCATCAACAAAAATAATCTTCTTAATATCCAAGGGAAACAGAACATCTAGTATGAATAGGAATAATAAGAAATGAGCAATTTGAAATGGACACACAATTATGTACATGCTTATATTAAATAAGCTTTTCATTTTACCTAGGAACAAGATTTTATATCCCCAAATTGTTCTTTGCTTCTCAGTTTGTTGATGCAACCATCTTGGCCATTTGTACTGAACCAATTCATATTGAAAGTTATATTCACGACTCATTTCTGGTAGGAAATCTTTGAATTGAGGAGAAAGGTAATTTTTCAAGAACCAAAACTTGACAGGTGTTTCTGTATGCTTCAACAATGAAAGCATCATAATTCTCAATAAACGCTCATAAAGATGCCCTGATGCAACTGAGAAAATATTTATTGTTTCAGGAGAGGAATCTGCGGATGAACCACCACTAAATGTACTTGTTATTGAGTCCCAAATCCCACTTTGCGGTTCATCATCTCCAAGTAAATCAGCACTCAATTGTTCAGGTTTCTTAGTCACGCGAACTTTCAGAACATGTGAATGGAAACTGTTGATTACTACTGAAACATATCCATCGCTTACTCTATGAATCGTATTCAATCCATCGACATTCGTAATGTCGTAAATTTCCGAACTCTTTCCATAGCGAAGTTTAAGAATCCATGCTCCTGGATTTGCTTTCAATTGAAAATACCCCAGATTAGCCATGACGATCTGGAAAAAATAAATGATTAAGATTTCATTTTAGAATTTTAATAAAGTCACAAATTACCGTGTCTACAACAGATTCTTGCTCTTTTGTTCCCAAAATAAATTGCAATCCACGTGGTGGTGATCCTGTACTTGAATCAAAGCAATGACCTTCAAGCAGTAAGTACTCTAGCTCATATTCACTGTGAACTGGTCCACCAATATCAGATAAACGAATATTATCCAAATCATATACAGATCTAATCAAGTCAACAATCCAATTTTCAGGAACTGCCAAATGTTGTGTCAGTAAACTATTAACTGGAAGTCCTGAAAACTTTGCATAATTTGAATTCATTAACTTTCCATCAGAAGAAAATCTTAATTCCGGTTCAACGACATAGCGATAAAAAAATTTAACAGGCATGTCTGAGTGCTTATCAACTGCATTTAGATATACTTTCAAATCACAATTTATAATTTGACGTAGAAGTAATAGCAATGGTGCCAATTTTTGAGCTCCACGTGAAGCTGGATCAAGCACTCCTATTATATTGAAACTTGGTTCTTCATCTAATTTTGCAGGCAATTTTATAACTGTATGGTCTTCACGCAATTCTGATGGAATATTGAACCTATTTTTCGATGACTGACGAGGCATTAATAATGATAAAAGTTGAAGCATAACTTCTGAATTTATTTCTATTGGTTCATCATCATTTTTGATAGATTTCAAAGCAACTTTAATTTTGTCAATGTAATTCCTTTGATTAATCTTGTCCAACAAATTGAAATCGTCAGAAGTGAATAATTCGCCCTCATCAAATGGTCCATAAATTTTTCCATTTGCTATAATACTTGTGTCATCGCTTTTGAATTTAAGAACTCTCTGGCAATAAACACGCAACATTTTAAGATGAAGTTCTGCTGCCTTTAAGAATCCTTTCACATTGCTCGTAGGTTCATATTTTCCATTCAACAATTGTAGTGCTGCTTCAATGGCTTCTTTGCCGTCAAGGGTATACAAAATGCTCCACATGATTGCATTCAAATCCTTATTGTTTGAAATGGCAGAGGGTTTATCAGCATTTGGAATGAAGGATAATCGTACACCACTACTAGATTTCAAAAATTCAAGACCATTTCGAAGGATATTTCTTCCATGTTCGTTATTTAAATCCGTAACAACCCATAAAGTTAAGAAATGTAATCGATTTTTCATGAATTTCTCTTGAGAATTTTTTGTTTCAAAATATCGAAGATTTTTCATCAAAGTGGCAGTCAAGTCCTCATTATTCAAAGTCTGAAGTGTAGTGACATCTTCAATATCATGATAAGCGTCACCACTGTACATATCTAGAAAATCTTGACTGTCACTTGATAAAATTCTTTGATTTAATCTAAGCATCACATGAGGTTGTTGCATAAGATAGTCGATGACATTTTCATCATCAGCCAATTCACCCACATAAATTTTCTTTTGAAGCTTTACAGTCTGTTGCATAATTTCAGTTAAAATTAACTCTTCATACTCGTCGCGATTTAGTAACTTTTCATTTAATAAAACACCATTTAATAAAGCTTGTGGTAATTGTTTGACTCCTAATCGTTCGATAAATTCTTCAGATAACTGCCGTCCATAATCGAAATCAGAATCTTCACCAAGAGCATCTTCTATTTCATCCTTTGAAAGCTTTGGATTGGTTTTCTTGAAAACTTTTTGAATAGTTTCAATTTCGACATCTTTAACCTTCAGAGTTGAAGAATAAACGTCTAAGAGGAATGTTAGCGCATCACGTGCTCCTTGTTTCTGATGCATATAATTGAAACCACAATTCAACGTACGGTAAAGATTATTTAATTTGCCTGTCCCAAGACGTGTGTCGAATGCAACACCAAAACGAATCGGTGCCATATTGGCTATGAAACTTTCAGACATACGCAGAATATCTCGTGCATCAGGCTTAACTGGATCAAACACAAGCATTAAATTAAAGAAATTTTTTCTGACACTTCTCATCATTCCAGGAAATGTTGGTCGAAGCATATCCATAACACTTGATCCCCATCGTTTATATTCTTTGTCAGATTCTAAATCGTTTATCCAAATGACTGAAGAATCTCTTATGTCAATAGCAAATTCTTTTGATTGTAATGATAAGTCTAAAGCAAGGAGAGGAGCATATGCACGATTTTGTAAGGCAATTTTTTTCAACCCATCAAGCACTAAAGATTCCTTCTTCAAAGTGTCCAAAAGTGTTTCAGCATCAAGAGACTCTGCATCAAAATACAGCCCGTTAATGAAAAGTGCAGCGTCTGGAGGTTGTAAATTGAGATTTCTTGCGAATGCATCAATATTATTCTTCATTTCTGCTTTGAATTCTTCACTAACTCGTATATTCAACAAACTTTTGGCTTGACTTGGAAAATTTTGTGCTATAAATTGTAAGATTGATAGTGATTCTTCACCTTGAATAGTAGCAACACGATGTGCTGCTTGTAAACCTAATTCTTGGAATTCCCATGCTTTAAGCGGTGCAATGTCTTCACTTCTTTCTAATAAACTGGCTTTCATTTTATCAATCGAATGTGATAAGTGTGGATAAATATTTTTAAGTGTCTTAAAGTCAAAACCATCAACTTCAGTCTCATCAGTATCAGCATCATTCTCTCCTTTTTTATCCCTTTCATTTGTAGGCGAATCATCTTGTGCTTTGTATTCTGTTGATTTCAAATGTAACTCAACACCATACCCTGATAGTCTAACTTTAGTTGAAGATCGTTCCTTAATATAATGACGTGTTACATACTTGATGAGTCCCTTTTGGGTTTCAGTCTTCAGAACTTTATGATATTCATTAAACTCCTTGCTTCCGATTTCACCATATAAAACGTTCACAACTGCATTATTTTCAGTCCCTGGATAAATATGATCGAAGCTGTACAAGTCAGAGTTTTCTAAGTTGTTGCTTTTCACACTCTTAAGCTTTTTCTTTAAATCATCAACTGAGCATATTAACTCATTCGCACACATCACAAATGCCTTCGAATCGCGACATTCACCTCTTTTTAGTATGTCATCAGCAATCATAAAATGCGATTGAATCCTTATAGTAAGTGATCGAAGTGATATGGAAAATTTTAAAAGTTTCGTCTGTGCATGACTAAGAAGTGTTTTAGCAATGCCTATTGTTGCATTATATCGCTCAAGATCAGTTTCAAGACCATCCAAATCAACTTTGGTCAGCTCATCGAGAAATAGCCAAAATTTCTGATTTGAGGTATCTGATAAAAATTCTGATACTTCTAGTTGTACAGGTGTTATACTAAATTTTGCATTTACTAATGTTGAGATCGGATGGCTTTTAGCAGTGTAAGATAAACCTATCTTAATTATTATTACAAATATACTACAAAGAATTTTTCCGTATTTCATCCTAAAAAAATTTAATTTGAATTTTTATAGATTTCGGTAAAATCGAATAAGTATGGAAGTATAAATTATTAAAAATTATTACCTTATTGTTTAGTTCCTCCGCACCATTTAGATATCTTAAGATAATTAATAAACGTTAGCGAATGATTAAAATAAATAAAATCACGATACTTATTAATTGAAAACTACTGAGCTGTCTTTTTTCTGTAGACAGAGAAGGTAATGTATGTTGGTAAACTTTTATGTTTATTAACAGCGAGGGAAGACTTAAGTTTTGAAATTGTACGTTACAGCAAGTATATTGGGAGGTACTGAATGGATTTTAGGTAGACAAATAAATATATTTAAATTTACCTGCAAAAATAATTTTTATCAATCTGTCTTTTTTTAAAGCAGGTGAAATTTATACTTATATGGTATCTGATCAAGTTTTAGCATGTTGGAAAATAAATGAAATTATTTAAATTCCTTCAACTTTTCAATACTTATAAGCAGTGTTGCATTCTGGCCATTTGTCTGGATCAGATAAATTCTTAGACAGAAATTTCTTCATAAAATCGATTCTACATGTAGAAAGAAAAAAACCATCTACATGTAGATTGTGTCTACATGTAGAATCTGTCTACATGTAGATTTAATGTAGATGTCTACGATTCTACATTCTTCTCTGATGTAGACCTGGAAAAAATGTAGAATTATAGACACACTCATAGAAAAAAAGTAACAAAATGTTTGTAACTTGTATGGAAAATGTTAACAAACAATTCGTTAAAATAGTGTTTACGAACTTATTTGTTAAATTTAACCAAATTATTTGTAAGGTTGAATTGTTAACTATAAAAATTGTTAATTTAACAAACTTTTTGTTAAAATTTTTTTTTACAGAAAAAAATAACAAATTTTCGGTTAATATTAACCAGAAAATTGTTAATTTGGTCACCCATCTTATTTTAAAATGTTTCCGTGGTTGCTTAACTTCTGAATTCCTGTTGATGATCCGCTAGTCCGCTGCTTGTAAACTTTTACTTATAAAATTTGATTCAGAACCAATATAAATAATTCTTTAAAAAATATATCCAAATTTTAAAATTAATTTATGAATAATAAAATAGAAATGTAGGACTTAAAAAAATGAACAAATTTAATTTTTAAATTACGATTTGGTTTGTAAATCATTATTTTCCAAAACAAATTACAAATAAAAACATTGTAACAAATGTTTTGTTAAAATTAACAAATTAATTTGTTAAACAAAATCAACAAAATTCAATTTAAAGCAGTTTTCTCATTAAAAATAACGCAATAAATTAATGGGAATCGTTTGAAATTAATCAAACAAGAGTTTTGAATACAAAAATTAAAATTTAATTAAATCAATTATTAACAAATAAATTTGTTGATTTAACAAACTCAATTGTAAAATTTTTAACAAATAGTTTGGTTGAAATTTTTTTTACCCATGTAAACTTAACCAATAATTTGTTAAACTAGTTTAACAAACATATAACAAATATTATGGTTACTTTTTTTCTATGAGTGCATCTACATCGAATCTACATGTAGACAGATTCTACATGTAGATTGTGTCTACATGTAGACACAATCTACATGTAGATGGTTTTTTTCTTTCTACATGAAGAATCGATCTTTATGAAGAAAGTTTCTTAGCTAGACAAAAACTATTGAAGAATCTACATTCTTCATCTAGTATAGACATCTACATTTGCAACACTGCTTATAAGCATTGTTGCCGCTTTTGGTGCACTGTGTCGACATCTTTGTTGGATGTCGAAATAATTCTAAACTGTTTGCATCTCTTACTATAAAATATCTTAGTTCTTTAAAGAAGTCAGATATAATATCGCTTTCGAACCGAAAAGACGGGATTTTTTCTTAGTAATTTTTTTAAAAAAATATATCAATTTTTATACAATAAATGCGCTAAAGAGTTTTTAAATAGCAATCCTCGATAATATAAACATACAGGTTCGCAAAAGAATAATATCGCAATTTCAATTATTCAAATGATTTTAGTGTAAAAATTGAATAGAAATTAAGGAGTAACATAAAAAATTCAATATATATGGAAGGGTGGAGAGAGAAAAGTTCATAAAGTAAAACTTTACTTTTACAATTATAATAGTTTATTTAATCTAAAGAATCTAATAGCTATATAAATAATGAAGTGTATGTGCATATCTAATAAATTAATTGTAAATTCTATGAAAGGCATTTGTTGCCAAATAATAATATTAATACTGTTAAGTAAAATTCAAATCTCAACATCCTCACTATCAACAACAAGTCCAGCCTCTTTGAGTGCTAATTTTAACAATAGTTATGAATTAACATGTGTGGGCATAAAGGAACTATTAGTTCAACGTGGAATCAATGAAAGAGATATACCAAAATTTCCTATTAAAGGTGAGTACCAGAAAATTTTTTCTTCACATTTTTCTCATGTAAATATTGTAAGTGCATAGATTTTTGCCATACTCTCTCAATCTATTATTCTCAATAGCCTTGTTGTTATTTTTCTCTCTTATTTATTTACCGGCAAGCGAATGTGTTGTTTTTAATTTATTTATTCCAATAGAAGACGTGAACAGAATACATATATATCTCATATCTGTTGCTTTTTGTTGTCTATAAAATTAAAAATGTGGGAGTTTAATAACTTAAAAATGAAATCTTAATGGGTAGAATCAGATTTTGTTCTAATTACCAAATTAAATGGTTAGTTTCTGAAACCATACTATTGACCTATAATCCAAATGTGTGAATGAAAATACCGATAATGACTTATCTTTTTTAGAAATTAGAATACGATATCTAATCTTGGATTATTACGTCGGGAATAAAAAAAAATGCGAGGTGTTATAATTTCATTGCGTATGTGAAAATAAATGTTTAAATATTTTTTAATTATTATTATTATCATCATCGTCATGGACTAAACGTTCGGAGCTCGTTGACCTTAAAGTACTCGGTAATTCCTTTCCTTTTCCTCCATTCATTCTTTTTTGGATTTAATAATGTGTGTAACTTTAAAAGTGTTTTTGATGGTTGCAAATTCTTTCGCACGAACTTTCATTCTTGCCTCCAGTTCTTTTCTGTTTTCTATATTAACTCCTTTTATTCTTGGGTATTTCAAAGAAGATTTCTCAATATAAAAAAAAAATGAAGAAATACATTTCTGAAAACAAAACAATTCCACACAGTGATCGAAAGGCGCCAAACGAGTAAAATGACTGTCTGAGAAATCTCTTTCATCCTCGCTTTTTGTACTTTTTTTTTATTTTCTTAAAAATGCATTCCTTTCGTATTTTTTCGGGGTATCTAAAAGCAAACGATATATTTCCATGTATTGAAGATCCACTGTAACAACTACAGTCATCATTTATATCTTTCTCTCCTTCTCGAAGAAGATTTCTTATGGCCTCAGCATTCTTTATAATGTCCACTCACTTCATGTATTAGTGGTATACAAAAAATGCATCAATGTAGAAGGGAAAAATTCATTCTTTAATTTTTCTTTCCTTCATTCTCTATTTCGTTTTTAGCATTTTTATTCTTATGGCTGACTGTGCAAAGCAGTGAGCACCCTGAGTAAAAAGCGGAAAACATTAGAGAGAATGAAGATGAATTATCTATAGTTGAATGGAATAATAAAAAGAGAATTGTAAAAAAAAAGAAATATTTCTTTTTTATTCAGTTTTGAGAAAAGTAACAAGTTCTGAATGTATCGTAAAATAGCAGGAATAACTTATTTTCCTGCATTTATTGGATTTTTTTTTCTTATGAATCTGCGAAGATGCAATATAAAGCTATAATGACCACTCCGAAGCTGTCCAAAAAACAACAAAAATTTACCTCTCCGATCTTTGTAGGATACACAAAAATTTGTTTACATTAGAATGTTTGTGTATGCTGGATAACTCAATTGCTTGCAAGATTTTCTCATTTTATGTATTAGAAAATGCGCTTCATCTTCCGCTGAATTCGCTATGAATACATTAAGAAGAAAAGAAGAAGAAAAAAAACGTCAAGATAATTTTGCTCATTAATCTTGCGAAATGTGAAAAATCATGTAAATACGTAATGGAAATGATTTCTTCTTATATACACGAATGTGAAAACATTTAATAATAAATTGAATCAATCGAATGTATTCAAACATAATTGCTATAAAAATTTAAAATCTTTCAATATAACTCACAGTGGGTCTTAATTGTGTATGGCTCAAAATGAAATTTTCAATAGGTGTTAAGAATGTACTTTTTTTTCTGTGGATTCAGTATAAAGAAATATAGAAGCGGACACACTGCACACTAATGTTTTCTTCCCAATCTCACACTATTCTACAAGTATATCTAAGGCATGTGTTTCTTTGACAGGTAGTTTCTCTATTGTAGGGCTATTCTTATTCTTATTCTTATTATTTTTTTATTTTTATTTTTCTAAATTCCTCTTTGCCTTTTCTCCCTTTCTCATCATCATGTGAGATATATTATTATAGTGTAACGAACAGTAATGAAATAAACTGAAAATTACCTTTAATGCTTTTAACAAAATTTGACACAATATAGAGATGATGATGATGATGATGATTCGACGAAAATTAGTTTTGATAAGATGTGCCATCTTCTGACACCTTCATACTGATCTTTAAAATAAGTCGTGATTCCTAAAAAAATTAATTTGCCTCACACAAATTTCTCACAAACCCAAAAATATCAAAATCAAGTCTAAACATACCAAAGAATTAATTGAGTGGTAGGTGACCCTAAGATGCGTGTGTTCCATTTATTATCTTAATGTCATTAGTGATAACTGCCTCTTTTTTTTCTGTGAAGTCTTTTTGAATTCCATTACGCTTGGCTGGATACAATAGTCAACTCCGTTAATATATTATGGTCAGTCAAAATTCAACAGTCGGTTCAAATTCTCTATGTGTTAATATATGTATACACACTGTGAAGACTGCTCTTGACTTCTTGCTTCAGTGATCATAAGAAAAAAAAATATTGAAACTATGAAATAAATAAAGCACACCAGGCAACACATTTTAAAAATCGTTTTAATTTCATTTTTTTTTAATAGCTTAATCATGAAAATAATTTTGGACGTATTTTACTCAAAAAGAAGTCCAATGGTGCAAAATCTCAATTGATTGTTTACAAGATTTTCAAACAATTTGTTCTTTTTCTATTGTTTTCTTGACAAATAAAAATTTCACAATTCAGCACATTTCGCTACCATTTTTTTCAATATAAATATAATCTCTTAAAAAATGCAGCTTGTTGCTAACTCATTGAACTTGGCTAATTGAAATTTGACAATGAAATTCGTTAAAGAAGCCATTTGATTGCATTTTTGTCTGCCTTTAAAATCATTACTCAGAAACTGGGTACTGAATCATCTCAGAATACATACAAATGTTGAGTATAAGCTAACATATTTTACAAAGTATGTCAAAAGAATAACATTAAGTGAAAATTAATTTAATTATCAATAAAGGATGGAAACATTATTATTTTTTCTTAAATAGCTTAACATTAGAACAAAAAATAATTATCGTTATCGGTAGACGCGGCAAGATCAAACATTTTTTTTTGTTCCTTTAAAAGATGTTTATCATCCCACATATTCTTTGAGCCATAAAAAAGATATTTCTATATTAAAATATTTTAATTTTATGCAAAATAATTTTATCATTTTAATAAAATAAAATAAAAAAATCTAAAAGAATTGGCAAAGTGTAAGAATTGAATTTCTTAAAATTAAAGTATTAGTGAGATTTTGGCATTTCATAAATAAGTTTCTACAATAGCTTTCAAAGTTCAATGTAACCTCTGAATTGATTAGATATCAGCATTTTAAATTTGGAAACTCTCGAAGGAATTTTATTAGTTTTATTTTATTTTCGTATTCGTTCTTAGGTCTTCGAACGAAACTTTGGTTAATATTGAAAAGACTTTAATGGTTAATGACTTTAAATGATCAAAAATTTTATTAAAGAATCACAATTTCATTACTTAATGATGCTAATATGCGATCGAAAGTATAATATTTATGTGAAAGGGAAATCTGATTTTATTCTTTAGAATAAATTTATGCAAAATAGCTTGTGGTAGCAATCGGATACATTGAAAATACATTCTGAAAATGAGATAATGATGATATTTCTTTTCTTCCATTCAAAGTGTCAAAGCATTATTTATAACGTGCCATTTTAATATAACTCTGCAAGTGTTAATGGTGAACGAACGAGTTTATAACCTTCATAATCAACTCAGGAAAGATTTCCAAAATCATCGGTCTTTGATATCTTAAAAAGTAGTCAGAAATATCCATTTTCTTCATCTTCTTCTGAATTTAAATTAATTATCCTGCTGAATAAATAATTACTTAATGTGTTTTTCATGCCATTTTAAATTCGATAACTTTTAAATGAATTCTCTTGCAATTCCATTCGTATTTAAATGCTAAATGGATTTTAGTTTCGTCCATTGACGTAATTTGTGAAGATAAAATCCTATTTAAAAATTTATTTTTTTTTTTTTCAAGAAAAGCTCAAGATATTATGAATTAATTGCTTTCTATTTAAGCCGTCAATAAATTCTAGAAAACTAATAAAATTCTATTTTTAGGCAAAGATTTAGATTAACATAAAAAAAACCAGTCCTAGAATTGAAACTTTAGCACTCTATAACTCAAATGCTTTACCTCATACGATCTCACAAATTGTTCTTAAACTCAATAAAGCTGTGAGCAATCAAGAAACCAAAAGCTATTTTCCTTTTAATTCATGTGGTTTTGAAACAGAAAGTGATGAAATTAATTTGGTTTGCATCTTCCGCTTTGTAACCACATTTTTCATTAAATGAAGAGAAAAAAAAAACAATAATCAACAACGATTTAAAGAAGTGCAAAAGACAAAAGGTACTTATGAGATATTTATAGAATCTTAAAAGTTTTATTGCGAAAATAAATTATAAAAAAAATCAATTAAAATCAAATAAATAAATAAATCACACACAAAAAAAAATCTATGGCATAATATACTGGAATTATGACGGAATTTCTAAGAAAAGAAACTGAGCGATAAAGTGGAATAGCGAAAGATGAGTAAAACTTTAGAAGAATGAAAACGAATGACTAGATACAATAAGGAAGACCGGTCATTCAAGTTCTCGCATTACATCGTCGGCCTATGACTGACTAGAACATGACTGTTCATGTATGTTCCAAAGTGCATATGTATAAGTAAAGCTAATAAAGTTTTGAATTATTAGATACTGCAACTCACGTAGAGATCATGTTATTTCTTTGATATAATATCGCATGTATTTTAATAACTTTTTCAAGAATTTCTGACATTATGATGTGATGACTGCCAATTTATAACTTTTTTTTTCTTCATTTTCGTGTGTGACTGTTGAATTTCATTCATCTGTTCTGTCTACGGTTCTGTTGAAAAAAGAATGAAATCATTTTTATTGAAAGGTGATATCCAGCCAAAATCTTCTAATTCACTCAACACATTTTCATTTCGTTTAATATGAGTAATGGTGGTGATTCACAAATCACAACCATTTTCTAGAAAGAGGTACATTATTAAGAATTTTTTATCCGTTTTCTTTTCTTTTTTATTGTATATTCTTTTCCTTTTCGCATTTTTTCTTCGCTTTTTTGGTGTGCAGAAGCGGTTACCGATTGGAATGCAGTTGAGCAACTTTTTGATCGTGGGATTTTTCCATCTGCTCTGAAATTCGTTTTAGTGATAAGTTTTTCTCAATGCATGAATAAGAAAGTTAAATAATAAAATATCTTGGGCACTAAAAGGATCAGTTAAATGTACATGTAAGCAGCGGAGATAATAAAAGAATTCTCAAACTGAATTTTAAAACCTTTTTGACTGCGTTTTGTCTGCTTTCTTTGGACTGATGCTCATAAGTCTACATTTTTCTCTAAAATTGAAATTTCTCAGGACAGAACATGATGCGAATACCATATTGTGTTTAGTCAAGATGTAAAAAAATCCCCCCGAACTCAATATGATTTTTTTTTAAAACTAATAAGCATCTAATGTAGTGGAAAATATCAAATTTCAGTCTACTTCCTCTTTATTTACGAACTTTTTTTTCTGTACCTTTGCATACACAATATGTGCAATCTTGGTAGTTTATATTTTTATTGGGTAATAAAACTAATTAAATGGCTATAAAAGAACTTGATACCATTTAATAAAAAGGGGGCATACTATTGTGTGGTTAGATGATTTTTTTTTTTGGGATTTAATGTGAAGAAATTGCTGAAAATTTCATTGTCAAGAAGATCCGGACGGTTCTATTTTGCTTCATTTATCTGATAAAAATTGAGAAGCTGTTCTTCAAAAGGCATCAGTATGGAAATGTTGAAATAAGAACATATGAATGAAGTGCATGTGAAAGCAAAAAAAAAACAATCCTAGCTAAACTCATGTAGTAATGGAAATTAATTTACACATGTCAATAACTCTTCTGACATGATTAAGAAAATCTAAGCATTTCCGGTAAGAAATAAACTAAACAAAAATTGAGTCAGTTATGTAAATTTATAAAATTAATGTGAAAAAAGTAAGTTGAATGCCTTAGATAAATGAAATCAATACTGCAAATGCTGTGCTGTATAAATAAAGTGTTAACATGTTAACATTATTGAAAGACGATTTTAAAGTAAATATATTTTACCGGTAGTAGTGAGAACATCTCGTGATATTTATGAATGAGCAGTAAAAGAGAGAAAATAGATTATTTTAGAAATAAATGTTCGTGCGAACTTGCTTATACAAGTATTCATTGCTCAAGTGTTAAAAGAGCAAACGAATAGAAAAAAATGTGCACAATGTAAACAAAAGAAACTTCTTCAGTACACAGTAATTGTAGTTTTATGTACACATATAATGTGTGTTTTGTAATGAATTCATTAGATAAAAATGCGATGGTTATCTCCTATACATTCCATGAATGAATAAATGCTAAATTTACAGATCAAGAATAAAAGAATGGCATAAACATTTTTTTTTTTATAAATAGCTTCAATTTGATCTAATTGACTTGGTTGAACTAATAGATACAATCATCTGCAAATTGAATACTGGACCCGTTATGATCAGCCGAAAAATTATACATTCTTTCACACTTAATTAAGCAAGACTATGATTGTGAATAATGAAGACTTTTATGTCATTTTTAAAAATAGGTAGTTCATTGATTGAATTTAGCGCAACGAAGCAAAAATTATTAAGAATTAAATATTCCATTTTTGCGTTGAATCTCGTCTTTAATTTATTGCAATGCATTAAAAACAACAACATTAAAAAGAGCCGAAAGTTTAGATTAGTATATCCAGTTTCTGAAAAAGAAACCGTGTTGTCACAGCCATACACCGATTCTTTAATCAAATGTAGCGGTTTATAATCGTATAATAAAAAATTCAGTTGTGAACATCAAAAGTAGAACTCTTTCTTTTATCACCATTATCAAAAAGATAATTGTCAACCGGTTTGAATTCATTTCTCTTATGTACCCGATGCTGCACATATGTACATAAAAAAGTAACGCATGTTTTCTTTTAAAGAAATGTTTGTTTAGAAGCTGATTAAATTAAACTACTTTTTGTTTTGTTTTTTACCGTCCCTATGTAAATTTGTGTACCAAACTTAATTTCTTCATTGCTTCAGCTTTACACATAAAACATTTACATATTCACTTGATCAAATGGGTTAATGATTTTTATTTATTTACACTTTTTTTCCAGATATAAAGTTTAAGTATTGTGATGTGCCTACATATGGATCGTGCTGTAATAGTAATATTGAACAAAAGTTATCATTTAATTCAAAGACTGCTATGGAGAGAGTGATTCGTGATTCAGTAAGCAAAATGTCATCAACGCTTCAAACACGAGCACAAAAGTTTAATGGTAATTATTAAAATATTTTATTTGATTATTAATTCCAATATAATTGCTATAAGTTTTCCATAAGAATAAATGCTATAAAGGTGTTATAGACTCAAATCTATTATTTCCTATTTTAAAAGAAATCTATGGCAATTTCCAATATATTAATTTGTCCGTTATAACATCTCTTTCTTCTTTAAAATATACCTACAGTTTAATTGACCATAAAAAGTACCATTATCTTTATATACTATTCTAAAGTGTATATACAGTAAGCCATGCATGTTAATATTACTGAGATCGGAATTCTAAACACTAATGCGTGATGTTAATGAAATATTTTTTTCCTCCTTTTTTTTCTCTATTTATCTTAAATAAACATATACACTAATTTACTATTAGATGAAGTTAATTCTCCTATTTTTTTTTTTGAAAACTATTTTAAAATTTCTTAACTCAGATTCCATAAAATGAGAAAATGAAATTGTAATGTGGAGGGTCTGCCGTGTAATGTGTGTACAAAAACTTTCTATAGGAACTGATGATGAATGTAATCCATCATATATTTTCTTTGTGGATACAAATTTGTAAAGGACTTTTATGGTCATTTGAATTTACATTTAATAGTATTATGCCCAGATTTTTGGGGTTTAGATATTTTTTTTGGAACTAAGAAATTGGAATTTTGAATGATCTTTTGTGCAATTTAAAGCCTCTTATTATGCTTCAATAATGTGCTTCCTGAATTTCAGAAAATGTCGAAATTCTGGCCATGTTTAAGCATGTTCTTACAAGCAAAGAAGGTTTGAGTTTCTGCTTCAAATATTAACATTTTTCCATTGGCTAATAGAAGATTTCACTTTTTTGTGATGCTTAAAGACTGCACAAAAAAACTATATTTATTGCTCTAATTGAGAGGAGAAATGAGCAAACAGGTACTCGAGAGTGATACAATGAACTCTTAAGGTATAAAAAATAAATGTTGCTGTAAATTTAAATAAAATTTTAAATAGTGAAGCGATGAAAGATTAAAGACCAAGCATTCAAATAGGAACATTGGTTTATTCTCACATTTTTTTGTGCCTAAAATAACTCTTCTGTTTATTATATATACAAAAGTATGTACACATAATTCCATAGAGAATCGCCGTAAAAAATTAAAATGTATTCAAGCAGATCATCAAATCAAAAAAGAAGACGTAATGAGATAATTTTCGTAGCATCTCTAATTTTAATAATTTAATTATCTGAATTTTCGATGATTCATTGTTTTAATAATAAGGAGTGAAAAATCAGATGCCGTGCATTATTAGTATTGTTTATAGAATCAAATTCATTCAGTAATTGAAATTGAATTTTGTATGCTGAAGATTTGGAAGTGCTATGAATTGAATCTTAATGTCTAAATGATCAGGTGTATATGTTCAAATTCATATCATTCACAAATGATATTTGATAATGATGTGTTTTGAGATCCATATTGTTTATGTTAAGTCTATAATGATTATTATAGCATTTGCTTTACTAAGATACTGTGCTGGAAAAGAAATCAAGAAATACGATTGCTTCTCCTGTTTTCGCACATCTCTGAAAATGGAAATGATGAAATTTATGGCAATCATATGGAGATGCTGGGTTATAAGTCCAGAGATTATAAGTCCAGATACAAAAATCGTGCACAGAAAATTATAAGTCCAGAAAATCAAAGTTAATAAAGGTTTATAAGTTCAGATACAAATTGCACCTGGACTTAAAAACCTCACGTGCAGTTAATAAGTCCAGGTACAAATACAGCTGGAATTATAAACTGCACGAGAGGTTTTTAAGTCCAGGTACATTTTATATCTGGACTTATAAACCTCACGTGTGGTTTATAATTCCAGAAAATTTATAAATTTTACTAATAAACTTCTAGTGCGATTATAAGTCCAGATACATTTTTCTGGACTTATAATCCTTGAAAATTATTTTTGAAATTATTTCAATTTTTTCCTTTAAAGCAATTCTACAAATGAACTTTTCTGATTTTTTTTCCTCTAAAGTACCTTATATATCCTTTTCAGCTGTTGTATTTCATTAAAATCATTATAATAAATTAAACGTTTTATCTTCCAAATCATTGCTTAAATTGAATTTTAAGGAAGTTTTAGAAGATAAATCAATTTTTCTGATGTAAATTTACATCTCTGAAAAACTTCAGCTTTTATTTTCCTAATACGTTTTAAAAAATTATTTTTTAAAATTAAAATTTTATTTTATATAACGTGGCAAGTCAGATAAGCTTCGCTTAGCATATGGTTGAGATTTAAAGCTTAACAAACATTCTATAATGTTTTTTTTAAAAAAAATTTTTTAACCAAATTTTAATTTTATAAACAACATTCTAATCAAAGAAATTATTGGTAATTAAAGTTAAACTTGATTTTTTCATATCATTTCCCACGGATTTGCCTTAAACGTTGGTATATTACATTAGTTGCAATAAAATTATTCATTTTGATCGAAACCCAACTAGTGTCATAAGAAAAAGCGAGATCGTTTGGGGAGTGTTGCATAGACTGGGAAAATAATTCTGCAGAATTCTGGTAAAAAATTCTGATCAATTATTCTAGCAGAATATTAAAACAGAATTTTCAGAATTCTCCCGAGCTCGGAGAATCGATTTATCTCGATAATTAAGCTTTATTACTGGAGTTTGGAGCATTTACATTTCTAAACAGATCTTAATCTATCATTAAGTGTACATTTAATGCTGCAAATATGAGGATTTGATATGCAACTATATGAAATTTTTGATTACCCTGTTGAAACTTTTACAAAATTCTATTTTTGGTCACAAAGCAACGGGCCGAAGAATTCAAATATCTTAATAATTAGAAAATAAAAAATTACATCAGATAAACTGAAAAGCTTGTAAGGTTTAATGAAAAATTTCGACAAAAAATTCATTTGATGTCAAAATTTTTGCAATTTACCCTACTGGAACCGCCTATTGTCAAATGCATACTTTTTCATAATTAATAAAGAAAAAAAAAATCGAAATAGTTTCACAAATAATTTTCAAGGATTATAAGTCCAGAAAAATGAATCTGGACTTATAATCGCACTAGAAGTTTATAAGTAAAATTTATAAATTTTCTGGAATTATAAACCACACGTGAGGTTTTTAAGTCCAGATGTAATATGTACCTGGACTTATAAACCTTTATTGACTTTGATTTTCTGGACTTATAATCTCTGGACTTATAGTTTCTGGACTTATAACCCAGCATCTCATATGGACATAATAAATTTTAATGAAATGTATAAATATGCATGGTTTGATGATATACGTTTGCGATAAAAAATAAAAATTATCGCACCTAATAAGATTTTATGCTGCAAATTAAATGTACATCCATAATTTTATTTCTTTTATAAACAGAACTTTTCAAAACATTATTACAACAATCTAAAGAGGGATTTCATCAAATGTTTAAGCAGACATATGGTGTGATTTATGAGCAGAATTCATACGTTTTCAACGATTTATTTGTTATGCTTGAAGGTTATTTCCTTCGCGGTAAACTAGATCTTACAGAAATGATGGACAAATTTTTCAATCAACTATATCAAAAAATGTTTACCGTAATTAACCGCCAGTATGAATTCAATGATGAGTAAGTGTCACCAACATATTCAATATTTTCCTAGCAATCTATTTATGGACAGATGAAGAAGATGTTTAAATTTCTTAATTATGACATTTTAATTCTGGAGTTAAATTTTAATCTTGAATAATAAATTTAAAATGTCATTCTTTAAGTAATAATTCATCCAAATCTATGGTATTAAATATGACTAACTGGATGTATTATGTTTAAACAGATACCTAGCCTGCGTTAGCGAGAGGATGAAAGATCTTAAACCTTTTGGTGATGTACCCGATAAACTATCAGTTCAAGTGAAACGTTCTTTTGTTGCTACACGAACTTTTGTGCAAGCATTAAGCTCGGCAGCAGATGTGGCAAAGAATATGATGACAATTAGGCATATTAATGAATGTACAGCATCGCTGACTAAAATGTCTGTTTGTGGCACGTGTGGAGGCCATAAAGAAAAACCATGCGAAGCATATTGTATAAATGTTATGAAGGGATGCTTGCAGCAATATGCTGAATTGGACACTGAATGGGATAATTTTGTCATTCAAATGGAAAAAGTATCAGATCGCTTGTTGGGACCTTTTAATATTGTTATGGTAGTTGAGCCAATTAATATCAAAATTTCGGAAGCAATCATGAATTTTCAGGTAATTAAATTTTGATCAATCACATGGACATGGCAAAAATTAAAGACTTTTGATTTTTAATTTCTTTAGGAATCTGGAAGTGATATAAGTAAGAGAATTTATAGTGGTTGTGGTACTCCGAGACTTGGTAGAAATGCTGACTTGTCATTTGATGATGAACATAGTAAAGAAATTCCACGACCAAACGAGAGAGTAAAACGACTTGCTGAACCTGGAAATCAACCCAATCGTGGCGGGAGAAATCAAGAAATAAATGTTGAACCCATGAAATTTCCTCGAAACGATTATCAAGCAAATCGAGGAAGTAATCGTGGAAGAAGTAATAATTCCAATAGAAATATCCAAAGAGGACAGTATACTGGAAAAACTGATTCTCGAGAATCGGCTTTGGATAAATTAGTAAAAGAAATTCGTCAAAAAGTTAAGGATACTAAGAAATTTTGGTCAAATCTACCGTACACAGCCTGTAACAATGATGATTTTACTCCAAGTAGAGACAATGATGTGTGTTGGAATGGAGTAGGCATTAATCGGTAATAATATTTTTCAATTGCTTTAAAAATTAAAATACTAATGCATCCCGTATTTAGGTACATCCCAAGTAAGAGTAATGATACTATGCCCACGCGACAATCTCAGATAGTTGCACAGCAGTTATTTACTCTTAAAACGACAATCAATCATTTGAAAAATGCTTATAATGGAAATGACGTTGAGTGGCCTGATAATGACGATGGTTCAGAAGAATCGGGAAGTGGTTCAGGCAGCGGTATTGATGATGAGGGTGATGATGATGGCTCAGGTATAAGAAAATTGATTAAAACTTTCATCATCCATTTATTTACAAGCTTTTTCTTTTCTAGGCATTCAAATTGTTGATCCTGAAAGTCCAGTGACGTTTTCAACAGAAACTCCACCGTCTGGAACACGACCTAGCAATAACAATAATAATATTGATCTTAATACAAACAATAACGATATGAATTTCAATACAATAGACGAAACAAAAGAAGACAGTGATCCTGACATCGATGAAACGCGAGAAGCAAAAACATCAACTGCCTCATCATCTTGGAAAACAAAACGACTTATCTTTACATACTTCTTGCCAATTGTGATGGCATGGTTTGGTGGCTCAATCAGTAATGCCATCACTGAATTACTGTGATTTTTTACGGATTACTTAACGAAGTATAAATTTATTGTATAGTGTTTTTGAACGAGTAGCTGAATGAAAGTATTAATTCATTAACAACAAGAATTTTGATCATGAAGTAAGCGATTGACTGAACTTTTTTTTTAATTTATAAAAAGATATAGACTTTTAAAATCGATTTTTTTTTATATGGCCAGTCGATAGATTCGACAAAGAATTCCATGGTCATTTTAAGTAACAAATGACTTGTCAATTTGTCTAGCAATTTTACTGAAACATTCTTAAAGAGAAAAATTGAAGCATTAAATGTATATCTTTTAATCGCATAGCTGTTTTCATCATATTTCTACCTAGAAACGTAAAAAATGTGCGAGTGGATAGAGAAAATATTTATAGAAAGTTTAGACAATGATGGTGAACATGTTTGAGAAGCTCGTATGATTGTGTAGATTAATCCTTTTACAGAAACAAATGTAACTTTTAATAAATGTTTTAAGGTAGTATTAAATGGTAAAGCTTATTTAAAATTTGTAATTGATCAATCAGTGCAGTATTGTATGAACAAATTCGTTGTACCGAAATGTTAAGGCATTACTGATGTCTTCATTCAAAATTCAGACTGCGTAAAACACAACTTCCCATAAACTTATTCATTCAAAAACATAGAATATACTTAAATGAACAAAGGTTCATTCACAAATGCCGTTTATCCTTTATTTGAACAGCATTAGTGAAGAATCTTTATCTCAAACATCACAATATTAGTGCCAGAAAATAACAAGATTCAAAAGAAATTATTAGGATATTTGTATAAAAAAGAATTTTAATGCATTTTAGAAGGACGTAATATATTTAAAATAATTATCTGATAATACCTCGAGAAATGAATGTTAAGAAAAATAATACGAGATTATTAATCTACTGCCTATGTCTGTACAATTTCGAGAATAATTGATCAAAATTTTTTTAAACAAAAAAACTGGGATTAGAAATTGATTTTTACAATACAAAAAAAAAGTCATTTTACAATTTAGAATTTTCATTCTTTAGGAATTTGGAAAACCAAAAAGTCATTGTTTCGCTAAATTTGGTCGATTTAAAAGAATATGGAAAATTATTTGTAAAGAAATTTAATTTATATCTTTTATGAAATTAACTAGGAAGCTGTACATATTTTGAAATTATGAAAAATTTAATAAAACATGAATTGATATGAAATAATTAACTACAAAATTCTTTCAATTTGATCAAATCACTTGAACTACCTTATCTCGTCGCTAATGTTAAATAAAATTTTATACTGTATTTGCTTTGTAAAGTAATGGAAGTGTTTTTTTAAATTCCAGATGCAAACAGGTAGTATGAAGAAACTTTAACACACATGCTTGTTTTTCTAAATGACACAAAATATAAGAAAAAATTTGAACACGTTTTATCATTCAAAGATGTATGATTCGTTAAACTTAAAAATTGGTCTAGGATACAAATAGTTAAGAAAAGTTTAATGGATGAGTTACTTTATATGAAACACGATTAAAAGAGATTTGATTAAAATTTAATAGAAAACCTGTTTCTCATTTATTTTCTTAAAAAATTCGTGCACATAGGGAACATTTAAGGACTTAACATTTTGGATGGACTTTTTGTCAATATTAAAGAATATGCTAGTTACTTTCAATTACAAACATTACATTATATATTTTTTTTTATCTAAAACTTATTTGCACCAGTGACATCATGGAATGGCTCTCGAATAATTATTTAATTAAATTCACCTCCTTCATTGTCAAATTCGCTTGCGATATTTGTGAAACTTCTTGTTTTCATAAAAACATAAACGAAGATAAGAGCTACGACTACTCCAAGTGTTGGTAATACAATTGATTTGATTTGTTGCTGGATTTTCTCATTTTCTTTGCGTAATTCCTGTTTTTCTTTTCGCGAGAGCTTATCTTTGCTATTATTATACTTTCCACGAGCCATCTTTTATCGCTTTTAATGGTCCTTTATATCTATTGAATATGATGAGTTGGCGGTACAAAAAATCAACAGGTATTTAATTCTCTGTTATATCTATAAAGTATGTATTATGTCAATGATTTTTGTTATAGAAAATGAATCGAGAATGAAAAATTAGTTTTAAACTGCATGCATATTTACATACCAAATCCAAATAATTCAAGGGAAATTAATAAAAACACCAAACTTGTTGGGAACAGAACCAAAGTGCGATGCGATAGAATTACTAATATCTACTGACTAAAAACGTCTCGGCTAATTTTTGAGCTACATTGAGCAACTGATTATTCTCTCAATATTTTTGTGCCTGAATTTATAATCTCTAACGCTTGACAGTTCTTAAAATATATCCAGTTTGATGTGTAACATAGCATAGCTTTTGACTGCATTACCAAAATTTTAATTGCATTATTAAATACAATTATTAAAAGTTCAAGTCTGAAAGTTGTAATCATAGTAAAAAGAACAGGCAATCTTAAACAAGTAGAATCTTCTTAAAATTAGTGATTAAGAATTGACAAATCAAAAATGTTTCGTCTAAAAAGGGTCCTTAATTTTAATACAATTAAACATTTTTATCGGAGTTATGTGTCATTTATTGATATTCACGTTGACAGAGTCAAGGCTGTTAAAATAAAGCCAGAATTTGATTGCAATGAATCTGATAGTCAAATTAAAGTAGAAGTTTTAGATGGTGATAAGAACTTAATTAAACTAAATTCGGTTGCAAAAATCTTGCAAACCGAAAAGAAGTTTAACTTAGAAGCATTTGAAACGAGCGAGGACATGACATTTATTGTGGAACTTCCAATGAGTTTATTTAATGATGTAGAAATAAATGTCAGTGCTGTAAAAGGTTGGTACATAGCAAAAATGAGACTAATGTCGTTATGGATCATTGACTAAATTCCAATGTTTATTTTCTGTACCACACACACGTCAAAGGTCACAGACCATAATTTTCTTATCATCATATGTATATTTTTTTGTTTTGTTCTACAGGAGATTTTAAATTCGATAATTTACCAAAAGTCAACAGAATATCGGCAGTAACGAATGATGGAAAAATTAAGATCCAACATTCAAGATGCGAGGAAGTAGCTGTTAAAGCAAGTGATATTACTATTGATACTCTTTATGCATATGATATTGATTTGAAAGCAATGACAAATGCTGAAACATCATTGATCAATATTGTAAAATGCCAAAGTGATCAAATGAGAGCGGAAGCACCAAAAGTTCGAATAGATAGTTGCTATACCAACAAAATTTATATTAAATCATATGTTGAGGCACTTTTAAAAAATCTTCATGGTGACTCAGTGTTTGATTGCACTGGTCATGTTTTTAATACAGTAGGATTCTCTGGTACTTTTAATGGAAGAATCGCGACAGAAAGAACGATGCTTCATTTTGCAGAATTATCTCGTGACAGCAAAGTTGTGATTTCACACAAAGACGGAATGATTCGGGCTGGATTTGCAAATGACATAGTTAAGAATAGCACAAATCTTCACATCCGTTCATGCTGTCCGATTCAAACTAAATCAAAGGAATTTATTGTATGCCAAAAATCTGAAAAGTTATTTGAGGTGATTCGTGTGAATGAAAATAGTGATAGTACCCTTAAGATGATTATTGAGGATGGAAAAGAATTGCAATTAATTAAACAATCATGGATTGATTCTATCACTTTCGAATTTTAATCTTGAAAATTGTTTACGCAAACTTTTAGGCAATACAAAAGATGTATTCTACATTTATAGTCTAAAAATAAAATGAAGTAAAAAGAAAAACTAGATTATTATAATATAACAAAAGCATTTAAAGACCAAACAAATTATATTATGCAATTTTAAAAGATTTTATCTTTTTTTTAAGGTATAAGAACTTTAAAAAGGTGGATTGCATGAATTTTTTTTTTTTTATTTTAAGTTTTTAATTATTGTTTTTTTTTTTGGAAAAGGACTTAAGTGGTTGCTGTAGAAAACTCCTACATAAATTCTTATTGAATGGAATGACATTAGACAGTACCTAATTTCCATTGAATTTTATAATACTTTCTCTACCCTACAATTCCCGAATTCATCTTTTCTCGATTTGAATGTTATTATTAAAATTAGTTTTTTTGTACTTATGAACTAGAAACTCAGATAGAAGGCCCGATTTATTGAAACACCAATTAGACATTAGATTTCATCCTTTCATCTCATGATAGTACGAAGAGTACCTATGTACGTTAATTCTGGTTCATATTGTAATGTGATGCTTCATAAATTTGCTCCTTGACATGTTCACTCATTTGCTTTGCAGCTTCCTTGAACTTTTGCGCTACATCGTGCTGAACTATATTTGCGTATTGATTTTGTATTGGGAAAAGCATTCCAAGAATATAATTGAAGCCGAGAGCCTAAAAGATAAGATAAGGAGTGTATGAGGAAAATTTTTTTTTTGACCTTGTTATCAAGATAAAGGAAGTAAACAAGTTAATACGCACAGATTTCTGGCAATTTTTCTTAAATCTTTCACATCCAAAAGCCTTAATTGCAGACGCAAATCCGAAAACCTGTGAATCTATCCATGCTGACCTATATGCTATTGTTTTTGGTCCATCGCTTCTGTAGACCACTTTTTCGATAACATTCTATTAAGGCAAAAAAATTGTAAACATATAGTATCGATCGAAGATTTTCTAGAAAATACGTTCTGAATTTTCCTTACCATTATTTTATTAAATCCTATGTTTCTTGTGTAAGTTGTTAGAGTTTTTGATTTCAAATCAATTAGTGATTCCTCAACGATACAAACAGATTTAGCTTTAAAGAATCTTTCTCCCCATTTTGGAAGCTTATTAGTCTTGGTGATTAGTCTTTTTGAATATAATTTTCCTTCTCTTGTCACTTGTCGTTCCAGTGTATCTTCAGACAGTACATGGCTTGAATATGGATTTGGATATCGCTGCCAAAAGCCTTGAAATATTTGCTCCATGTTATAATGAAAGACTGTAGAATTTTCATAATATTTTGCCATATCTGTACAATTTTTTTATCGATGTTCCAAGTCTCTTTTTAAGGAATTTTGATATTGTTTGATTTTTCTACGTTGAATGTTTAATTTAGACTCTAATCCATTCTATTTTGAAGTTACTTTAATGATTTTTCACACTCTAATTTGATAAAATTTTGTTGTAAACATGAATTTCTCCGATAATTTTCCGGATCTTTCGTCTTTAAAAAAATCACGTAAGTCGATAGGTTCAATCTTTATTGAAAAACATGGGAACGCGTTCAGTTCACTTTGCAAAATTATTATTGACTTGCTGTATTCACACCATAAGACTTCTAATTTAATTAACGCATATCCACACCCAGTATATATGTAATAAAAAAATTGATATTCTTCAGAATTTAATTAATTACAACGTTGTGTATGTTCTTTTGTCTTCTAGTCAGACACAGACTAGACTCGTAATCTTAAGATAGAATGATAAACATGAAAAAAGCATAAAATTCAAAAAATAATCAGTTACTGTTATGTAAAGTTTTTTACCTAGCCGTGTGAATATGAATTCTTTTATTTGATTCTAAAAAGACGGTTTTGAAAGGTAAGGAACATAAATATATTTTTTTAAAATGATTTATCAATTTATTCATTTAATTCATGAAAGCATATTGATCACAACAATAAAACATTCAGCATTAACAAGCATAATGATTTAGAACAAAAAATAAATGTTCTGTTTTAAGAACTCAGACTTGATGAAAATTCACAATTTTTTGGTCAAGATGATTAATGCTATGGAAATTTAAATAGCATCGTAACTATCTTCTGTTGGCACAACACGGAATCCATTTTTCACAAAATAAAATCCTAATTTGACTGATATCCATAATTTGCACCAGAAATCGTAGTTTGGTAACAATTCATAACCACGAGCTCCGACAAAGAAGTAATTGTAAATTATTCCTATGATTAAGTATGTCAACAGCACAATGAATGCTATGAGAAAGAATGTGGAAAAAAATCCAGGAGCTTCAATTTGTTTGATCTGTTTAATACATGCGTTGTTACTAAATAAAATTAAGTTGGTATTGTTCTCATTTGTTTCCTTTGGAGCGTATAAAGTTGAAGTCTTTGAATTTGGTGTACATTGTAGTAGTACAGTTGATGATATGCTGAAAAAAACATTGATAACGTTATGTCAAACAACATTAATCAAGAATCTTCTTTTCTCCTTACTTGCTAGTTGTTCCAAATGTCATGAAAATTTGATCTCCTTCCTCTTTGAACTTTGTATCTTTAGTTGTTCCCAAAACAAAGGAGTGATTTTTAAGGGAATCATAAACACACAAAGTGAAGCCATTCTTGCAATCATTCGTAGTATTTTCAGGAAAAGTTGGAAGATCTTTTGAGTCAAAGCATGGATTAAAGAAAATCTGAATATCAGTTCCAGCATAAGACTTCAAACTTGAATTAACAGGATTTAAGAGATTTTTGAAGCTATATCCAGATCCATCACTATAAACTACAAAGTCATAATAAAAGAATGTCAATTTTTAAAAAAATAGTCATCGAAAAAATGACAAAGAATTTTAATTTTTACATTATCATCTTTTATTTTGTACTTACCACATTCACAAATATTCTGTGTTGTGCATTCAGCATTAATTGATTTAGCAGACAAAAAACAAAATAATATCAATGTAAAACTTATGAGTATCATTATAATGAAAGAGATTAAAAATATTTAAAAAAATAAATTGTTGATTTTTTTCTTCTATTTATTTACTTTTTTCTTTGAAGTGCGGGAAAATGATTTAAATTTTTAAATATTTTAAAACCGTTATTCTCCTCACATGCTTGACATGATCTAATTTGAAAGCTACCAAAGCCACATGACATTAGAAGATGCGTTTAAATAATTTTTTGCTGTTGATTATTTAAAGAAAATTTATGAACAAAATCAGGAAGTAATAATGAAAATAAGCTTCACATTATGCGAATGGTAATAACACCGTACTTACTTCTCGTTTTTAATCAGTGATTTAGTCGAGGTTGTGTTTAAAAAGAGTAAAGACGTGAATTGTTGTTGGACAAAAATTGAAATATAATAATGGTCAAATTAGGATGTGCTGGAAATTTGATTAAAGGATTCATTTTGTGCTTCAACATCTTTTGTGCTGTAAGATTTGGAATTAGATACAATTATTTGATTTCTGCTTGAATTTAACGATTTGTAGTTTCGGTCAATATTTTAGCTGGTATATGCTTAAATCATTAATTTTCATTTGCACTTAATCTTAAAAAATACCAAATCTGTACCGTTGATATGAAGAACATATTTTTACAATATTTTGGTTTGGGATTTTTAAAATATGCTGTTTCTAATTGAACTTAGTAAGGAATGAGGCAATTTACTCAAACATAAATTTTTACTTCTTATTAATAAGAGTTTTTAACACCTCAAGTCTTATTTGATCTTAGAAAAACTGAGAAACACAATAAATTTTTATATCATGCTGATTTTTGAGAGTGGTAAAATTTCAGTTACGAGTAAATGCACGTGGTCATTGGAATTAATTAAATTTTAAAATGGACAATTTTGATGGTAGTACTTATATAACACACGAAATTCAAAAGCATACGTAACAGATAAAATCTTAAACAGCATAAGTACATCGAAATATAAGCGCAAATGATGAAAAGGTGATGGCATCTAAATTTAATGTACAAAGTTTGTTTTTGAAGATTTGAAAAAATAAATTATTAAAATTATCAAGCAGTTTTAAGCTTATTGTTAAATGCAGACCATTGACAAATATCAGATGTCTTAAAGCAACGAAATCTAAAGAATTTTTTTTTAAATTTTCTTTTAGGCAAGCGGTGTTGTGCTGATAATTCATGGATCAATATCACTTTTGAAAGTTAAAGAGCTTCGATCGTATCTACAAAATTCACATTTGGAAGAAGCAACTGTTGTTCCAACAATTGTCATTTGCTTTGGAATTTTTGTATTTATAATTTCATTTTTCGGAGCAACTGGAGCATGCCAAGAATCTCGCATTTTAATAGACGCATATGCAATTTCAATGCTTTCACTTGTTCTGATGCAAATTATCCTTGCTAGTCTTATATTCTTATTCCTTGATGATATTAATCAAGAAAGTGTACGAAACTTTAGCAAAATGTGGAGAACAAGGAATGGATTTGACAACCAAATGATGATTGAAATGATTCAGGAAAATTTGGAATGTTGTGGCTTAAATTCACCTTCTGATTACAATTATCAAAACATACCATTATCATGTTGTACAAAAGATAGCCGAGCATGTACAATTCAAAACGCATTTAAAATTGGATGCAAAACTCATTTAAAAGATTCAATACAAACTTCGGGACATACAATTTCACTTTTGTGCTTAGCAACTGCTGCATTTGAGGTAAGCGCTGAATTATCATTTTGTGATTTCAAATTTTGAAGAAATGAAGATTTTCTAATCTAAAACTTCCAGCTTGGTGCAGCTATTCTTGGATTTATTTTAAGCAAGCAAATACGGAAATGCAGTGCAAAAAGAAGATGCTGTTGATATTTGTATTCATGCTGACATTATGTTTTTTGGTTGTTGGTTAATTGTTTGTACATTAATACTGGATGATGCTTTTAAGTTCCGATTGTGACTTCAATACAATTTTACTGATCTACGCGAGGTTCGTCCGTTCACATCTGTAACGACAGCTTCGATAGTTTTTTGTGAACAATTATATTAATAATAATAATCCTTTATTTAATTCTTGATTTGAAGTCGAGCAAAACCTGTCGATTTTAAATCAAATATTGAAGTTAAAATAATTGATAAAAAATAAGTATACAATTTAAAGACATGCTCTCTGTATGACTATTGTTAATAAAACTTATTTAAAAATGATGACAAAGAAGAGAATTTAAAAATGATAAGTAAGTAACTCTCTCGTAGTTTTGTTTAAATAAAGAGAGCTGCTAAAAAGAGAATCACGTTGATTTTTAAACATTTTCATTCGTTTTTAAGCAGTATAGCTCAGTATCGTTTGAGCATTCATTGAATTATATCTTTAAAAAAAGTTCTGTATTTAAATTAAGATAAAACTTAATATTCAAGCTGATCTTAGTCAGTGGTATTAATAAAAATAAATCTTTATCATATTTAAAAAACATGGGTTTAAATTGTGGTGCTAGTTTGATCAAATATATCTTATTCGTCTTCAATTTGATATGTGCAGTAAGTATGAGTCTTAAATTTTTTTTCTGAATTTTATATTTGGAACTAATGAAATGAAAATTTGTGACCAGCGTCAAATTAAAAACAGAAAAAAAAAATAAAGAAATGAAAACAGGTATCTGATGTAACGATATTTTAGTATTACTTCTTTGTGAGAAAGGCATGAGATGTTTTGTTTTCGAAAGCTAAATGCTGAAGTAAAAGAAAATAAAGCAAATTATTTCAAAGGATCGGCCGATAAGTTAATTAATTTTCTCCATTTCTATTGTGAGAATATTATTAAAGAAATTTTATGAGTGGATGTTCCTTTTGTAATTCAACGTTAAATGTGACAAAAACCATTGTGTTATGTTGAAAATCCACACCCAAATAACTTCCCCTTTATATTTTATCTTCCAAGCTTCTGCCTTTACTATGTGCTTTACTATTTAACAACTTGTTGATTTCTCGATGAAGAAATTTCTTTTAAATATAAGCTTCAGGTGAATAAGTGCTGTGTTTTGTTTGTTTTAAAATAGTATCTTGCATTCATAAATTTTTACTTGATATTATTTGTTTGTCATTGAATTTAACTTTACACTTGCAAGCTACATGATATATCAATTACTTTGATGAATTCATTGCATGCTCTACATCAATAAACAGAGCTATAGAATTTTAAAATTTATGTAAATATAACATGATAATAGTTGTTATTAATGACGTCCTCTAAAATTCATCTCGCTTTATATTTGCTGATTAGTCATACATCTTATGACATCATCTTTATATTTTAAATTATCTTGCATGAAAACCGTGCATTCACAGGTATAGTCAGAAGTAAATGCACATGACTATGAACTGGTCAGAAACTATTCGACAGAATTAGCGCTCCGAAATGACAGTGATTTATAGAACTATATCATTTTTATGTACATTTAAAGTTCAACGAAAAAGAACCAGCAATAAAAAAATACTTCAGCTGATTTTCTTCTTCATTGATACATGCTTTGTTCTCGTATAATTGGCAACCTTGAATTCAAACACACGAATGAAAAATTTTAGCATTTGTACGACGATGTTTTTTTCGCAGAACACTGATCTGCTTTTGTATTTGATGATAATTAGCTAAAGATTTTTGAGAGAGTATTTATAAGCTTATAGAGTGGCAGCATGTCGCAGTTTATTTTAAATGTTATCTTTTTTCGTTCTTTACTTGTAAGATGAATCATGATCATGTGCCGAGAGCTCATATTAAAACACTGATTTACCGAATGAATCATTGTTATTTAATTACTTCACAATTTTAAGAATTAGTAATGATACCAATGATGTTTCAATGATACCAAATTATCAGTACTGTTAGTTTTATCACAATGTATGCACACGTGGAACAATGAAATATTGACACCAAATAAATAGAAAAGTAAATTTTTTGCGAAATATTTATTTAACAAGAATTAATAATTAATTTTCAATATAAATCTATAAATCTTTGACTTCCATACATTGCATGCATACCAAGAGAATGTAATTAACATGATTATGTAAATTATTAATTAACAATAATTAGTAAAATTCATCGACTCGATTCCATATCTGTAAATATGAATGATAAGTATGAAGAAATCAATTTTCATGTTGTTTCATTGTTAATATGTGCAATCGGGTGTCATTGAGAACAAGGTGTTTAGTTAAACTTTACTTCTATTGCGCATTTTGTTTTTTTTTTGTTACACAGAATATGTGGAAAAATTTTAATTCAAAATCTCATTCATTAAGAGAATATAAAATATCCAGTATAGTCATTCTAAAGGAGATAAAAAGATGACTTCTGAATGTAATTATCAAGAGTCATACAGAATGCAGCCTAGAATATAATTCATATCTTCATTTCTGATTTAAATTACTTATTTATACATGAGTCAAAATTTACACTTATCATTTTGATTTATCAAATAATATTCAAACACAAAACAGAAATTAAGAGTGTGATGATGATCCATGAAACATATAAAATGTATTGCTTTGTTAAATGTATTACTACATATTGTTTTGATAACACTTAATTGAAAATAATTTCGACATTATCAAGAGATGTGACATACAATAATTTAATGGACAAATTATTGAACTTCTTTTATGAATTCGCAACGTCTTGATATCAATAGATTTTTGGTATCAAGACTATTAACTCTAATATTTATGTTATTATTAATGATTTTTGAGCACAATTTACAAAAATGCTATCGTAAATAGATGAAAAATATAAATTTATATCCAACTCATGGTAATAATGTTGATTTCCGTCTATGCTTATTCAACCCAAACATATCAAGAACCTTTTCATTGTTAGACTTCGATAGAACCACACAAAAAAAAATAATTTCAACAACAAATTGCTTCCGATATGGATTTAAAAACTTTTTTTTATTTCAGATTGGTGGAATAGCATTAGTCGCTATTGGAGGAATTGCATTGAAAAAAATTGGAGATGTCGATGATGTTTTCGAGAAGTCTGACCATCCAGGCATATATTCAGCATTTATTATTGCTTTGGGTGCATTGGTCTTTGTAGTAGCGTTCTTCGGTAAATTGTTTAATTGAATGATAAATAGCAGAAAAAAAAATATTTTTAATTTGTTGTTAAATTTTTTAGGATGCATGGGTTCTCTTCGCGAATCTCAATGTCTTTTGAATCTTTATGCATTGTGTCTATTGACAGTTGTTGTTTTACAAGTATTACTTGCGATTTTTGTATTCTTATACAACAATGATATTCAGCAAGCAGCCTTCAAAGGTTGGGATCGCTTATGGGCAGGAAAGGATACTCCATTAAATAACCAAACCATCAGTCAAATTCAAAAAGCAATTGAATGTTGTGGAAGTAATGCTCCCCGAGATTATGGAACTAATCTACCGAAATCATGTTGTCCAGAAACAGCAGATATTTGCACAATTCAACTCTCATTTAACGTGGGATGCAGACAACAAATCAAAACTGTTATTGAAAATTCATCATCTTTAATTGCCTATATGTCAATTGCTATGGCTGTTTTTGAGGTAAATTTTTAAAGATTATCAAAAAAAAATGAGGCTGATAAAAAATATTCTTATTTTAGCTTATTGCTGTGATATTCAGTTGCTGTCTAAGTTCAAATATTCGAAACAGTCAAAGGTTAACATTTTAACTGCAAACACTGTAATTTGTAGGTTCAAATTATGAGCTGATTTTAATCCTATAATATTTTTTAAGCATTAATCACTACAAAAAATGGTGAAAATTATTTTTATTGTTCATAAATTGAATCAAGCAAATTAACTTTATGACTCATTGGCATCTTGCAAAATAATTTTAAATATTTTGTTTTTGTGTTTTACAGACCTTGTTAAAACTCTTCAATAACATTCTTTGTTCTTGACATAACTACTTTGTAACTTGTTATCTTTTATTTGAACAAAACGTTGTCGTCTGTTTCATAATCATTTCTTATGCACATCTGTGAGTTTAACATTTAACACGGAATACATTACATGTGACATCATTTTTGATTAGGTGTATGTGTGTACTGAACTACTAATGTCAGGAAAAATGGATTTAAAAATACATGGTAAACATAAAACCTTTATTTTTTTAAAAATACTTCTGAAATCCAGTCTTCAAGTTTAATCACCTACATGTAAATTTAACATGCTTAATCACCACAAAATATATTTTTGCACCAATACGCTTATATCTGCTTTGTTAAACTTTGAATGTTTTCTCCATTACTTATCTTAACAACAATTTTAAATAAATTCCAGCATATTTATACATAAAAGTTGATCAAATTAATTAACATTGAATTCCATTGAAAATCTTTTAACTAACAAGACACGAGTTCATAAGAGTTGTACTACGCTTAAATGTCCATAAAGTTTTATATTTTTACAAATATAAATAAAATCAAATTTAAAACATGAATCCTGATTGATTTTCATTCCTTTGTTGTTTACATTACAATGATTACAGATAATTACACGTGCTTTTTATTCAACACGTGGTGTTTTCAATGCGCGCGCATTAGCTGGAAACAAACTTATGGAAAATCGATTTTTATTATTATAAAATCAACATTAAGAAAAAATTTTATCAATTGTGTTTTCATTTCAGCCTAGGACGGGTGTGCAGTAAAATTTTTAAAAACAAAAAAATTTAAAAATCCAAGAATTTTTTAAAGAAATAAAAGTTTTGTCAATTTTAAATACATTTACAAGATCAGGACAAGAAGTTTTTTGTCCACTATTCTAATTATGTGAATAATTATCTCTAATAAGAAAATATATAAAAGTTGTAGATAAAAAAGGGAAATATCTTTCCATCTGTTTTCATAAAATCAAGTTATTGAAGTCAAAATTTTTGACAAATTCAAAATGTTGGGTCAATCAGGTAAGATATAGTATACCAATTGGAAAAATGGAAAACGTAAAATTTGTAAAATGCTTTGAATGAAATCGCCCACATGTTGATTCCTCGGAAAAAGAAAAAAAAAATAAATATCGCCATCCATATTTTTTTTCTCTTCGACATCTGGAGGTGAAAAAAAAATCAAAAATTTATTGCGTATTTTTGAGATATTAAGTCATTAAATTAAAAGTTTCAATATGGTTGCATTTATTTTTAAAGCAAATGAAGCTGATTTTAAGGAGAGATTAATAGCAAATGTCAAAAAAGAAGTGAAACAAATAATGGAAGAAAGTGTCACTCGAAAGTTTGTACATGAAGACAGCTCTACAGTTGTTTCACTTTGTGGAGCAGTTGAAGCTTGCTTAAGTCAAGGTCTTCGTAGAAGAGCTTTAGGGCTTTTTAAAACAAGCTCGACTACAGCTTTACTTCATAAAATCAGTAGTCAATGTGAAGAGGCTGCTCATGTAAGTAAGAAGATACATGATATTGAAGCTGCAGATCCAAGCAAAAGGTCATCGTCTTCAAGTGACAGTATCATTAAACCACCCATCCTTACTAAAAAGGGCTCAAGTAATTCTGTAGGTGGAGGTACACCGACAGCAGTGTCAAACAATTCTCAGCCTTCAATGAAGTAATTTAAAATCAATTATAATTGAGAAAAAATCTTATTTTTCAGCACTATCAGTCGGAAAAGTGCCCGAAAAATAGGTTTTAAACTTTATGTTTTTAACTCTATGTTATAACAAATTATTTTACTTTCAGATATTTGTGGATTAGAATTGCACTTTATGAAAAAGTAAAAACATTAAGTTCAATTTATTCCTCCATTTATTAATACTCTGTTGCCTATAATTTTCAGAAATTGACAAGAATCATTGATCATCTTGTTGCAAATGCAAACAGATACTATGACAAAGATGCTCTTGTTGCAGATTCTGACTACGGATCAATTTTAAGCTCATTGCTCGTTGGCCCTTGTGCTTTAGAGTATTCAAAAGCAAAAACTTTAGATCATTTTTGGACTGATCCAACAGCCAATGATTTAGTACAACGACACATCATTCCATCACAAACTACTCCACAATCCTCACGAAGGCCAATGTTAAATATAAAACGCATTCATACAAGTTCAGATGACTCTGGTATTAATTCCTACAAAAGTAATTCACCGGCATCGACAGCAAAAGATTATGTTGAGTCTTTACATCAGAATTCACGAGCAACACTTTTATATGGAAAGAATAACGTTTTAGTTCATCCAGTAAGTGCATAAGCATAAATATTGAGATAATAATATTATTATCATTTTTTAAAACACTGCTCTTTCATGACAATTATAGAAAGATGTCGCTGAGCCTATGTTGGGCTATTTATCACTACATCAATCCATAAATTTTCTTACAATTAAATGGACACCAAATCAACTAATGAATGGTTATAATGAACAATCATTGCCATCTTCTGCTGGATCTATAACGTCAGCTTCCGAAGTTGACAAAAGCTTTTTCTGGGCATATGTTATGAATATCAATATTGATGATATTGTTTATGTCCATTGTCATCAGAATCGAAGTAGTGAAGAGACTAGTGGAACAATAATTCTTGTAGGCCATGACGGAGTTCAGAGACCTCCAATTCACTTTCCGGAAGGTGGACATATGGCTCAATTTCTAGGCTGCTTGGAAACTGGGTATAAAAATTTTATATTCATTATAAAAAAAGTAAAATGAAATGCAAAATTTTAATTCAAGATTATTGCCACATGGTCAGTTAGATCCACCTTTATGGTCTCAGAAAGGAATAGGCCGTATATTTCCGTGGCCGGTAAAATCAAGAAGACGATTTGGAGGACTTCCATCAGTTTTAGAAAACAATGATGAGCTACCAATTGATTACGTGTTTCGTGTGGTAAACAAAAGCAATCCTGAAGAATTTTGTAAGATTTTTGGAATATCCAACAATAATTAAAATCTTCAACATTTAAATTTTCATTTTTTGTTAAACAGTGGCAACACATCCTATTATGGAAGTTGGCAGAACAAGTCCATATCGACGACATTTAAGTAGCTGCTCAACAAACGAGAGTAGTGATGGTTCTAGCAAAAGTATTTCGTTAGATCTTGTTGAAAGTACAACAATTGTAAGTTAATAAGACCAACTAAAATGTCATGAATGATGTTTACATCGTATAATTTATTACAGCAACAACCAACAAATAACCAAGCTACAAGTATTGCTTTAGTTTGTACAACGATGAAACGCCAAATAATTTCTCGGGCTTTTTATGGATGGTTAGCTTATTGTCGTCATTTATCTACTGTAAGAACTCATCTTAGTGGGTTAGTGCATGGAAGAATAACTCCTGATATTGGTGCAGACAATGGATTGACAGAAGAACGTTGGAGAGAAATGCATGATGATGAAGGAGTTATTTCACAAGATTGCGAAGTATATCGTCTAGTTTATTACGGAAGTGTTGCACACGAAATAAGAAAGGAAGTATGGCCATACTTGCTAGGCCATTATACGTTTGGGATGACGTCAAACGAACGTAAAGAATTAGATGAAAATACTAGACATTATTATGAAACAACAATGAGTGAATGGCTAGCATTAGAAGCAATTGTTAGACAATTGGATAAAGAAAAAACAGCACATGCAGTTGCTAAATTAAGTTCGGGTGGAAGTGCAAGTGATAGTAAAGTGAAATGTGGAGTTGATGTTGATGTTGAAATGGAAAATGAAGTTTTTGAAGAGAACGGATTTTCAGATGGATCAGACGTTGAATTTTCCGAAGAGAAATCACCTGTTAAAAAACAATCGAGAGAACACATTCAAAATAATAATAGCAAATCTTTAGATACAGAAAAAGGTCAAAAAGAAACTGAACTGATGGAAGTAGACATAAAAAGTTCTCCTTCAACATCTTCCTACGAGACTGTTGGAACTGATTTTATTGATTATGTGGACAAAGAAGGATTCCCATTATCACCAAAACTAAATCCAACAGCCGTAATTGTGACTGATGCTTCTATTGATATGACAAATATACCACAATCAGCTATCGATGGAAATAAAGAGACTAAAGAAATTTTAGAAACAGTTAATGAAGAACTTTCACCAAATTCTTTAGATGCATTACAAGAACCAAAATCAGCCTGTGTTTCACCAGCAAGTTCTAATGGCGGCATCTATACTGTAAGAATTTTTTTAAATATTTTCTTTTTAAAAAGCTTTTGTAATGTTTTATTCCCTCGCATTACCACAGAATGAGCAGCTTGAACTTTTTGGTTTAAACTTACATCGAATCGAAAAAGATGTTCAACGATGTGATCGCAACTATTGGTATTTTGCTAACGAAAATTTAGACAAACTTAGGAACGTGATTACAACGTGAGTTTCATAATTATTACTTTTATACATAATTAAATACTTATTTTTACAGATATGTGTATGAGCACCTGGAGACTGGTTATATGCAAGGAATGTGTGATTTGTTGGCTCCCTTGCTTGTTATTTTTGATGACGAATCCTTAAGCTATGGATGTTTTTGCCGATTGATGGAACGAATGATTGAAAACTTTCCAAATGGTGGTGCTATGGATATGCACTTTGCTAATATGCGATCACTAATACAAATATTAGATTCAGAAATGTATGATTTGATGCATGCTCATGGTGACTATACACATTTCTATTTTTGCTATCGATGGTTTTTATTGGATTTTAAACGAGAACTTCTTTACGCTGATGTGTTTTCGGTTTGGGAAGTTATTTGGAGCGCGAAGCATGTTTCATCTAGTCATTTTGTGCTATTTCTAGCACTATCACTTTTAGAAAATTATCGTGATATAATTTTATCAAACAGCATGGATTTTACAGACATTATTAAATTTTTCAATGGTATGTATTCGAATTGTATGAATGAATCATTTATCAGGAATTTTCATTTTTATTTTCAGAAATGGCAGAGAGACATAATGTTTCTTCAATATTAAAGACAGCTCGAAACTTGGTGTTGCAGTTGCAAGTACTAATTGAAAATAAATAATTGGGTCATTTTTTTACTCATTTTTTCAAGTTTCAAAATAAACAAAAGACTTGTGAATTTTTCGTCACTTTAGTCATCTTAAATTTTATTTATATATATAAGCTATCAATTGAAATTTTTTTATTTTTTCAAGTTTGTAAATCTAATTTTATTTTTTTAAAGGAATAGAAGATATAAAATTATTTTTTAAAATTTAATCACATTTTAAATGAAACGATAAAATTAAACAGAATTAATTAATCGATTATCCCTTTAAATGAAATGAGATAAATCTATTTCATTTTGAATGTTATCACCACATTAGTAATGAATATATAATATGCTAAGGAGAAATTTCCAAATATTTATTTTTATTGAATTTAAAAAAAATCTTTATAGGTATTTTCTTTTTTGATGGCACAAATTATAAACATGCTACAAAAAAATGTACTGGTAAATTTGGTTGATTAAAACATTTTATTCATTTGTTACATATTATAAAGCAAACATTTGTGGAAATATCCAGAAACATCGAGATTTTAAACGAAAACATACTTTAACTTTAACTGATAACTTTTAAGCTTCAAGAGTTGTTGTTTTCAATTGAGTTAACCACAAGTAATGATGTCAGTTTAAATATTTTTAACTACAAAATTAAATAAAATCAATTACCAGAAATTCAAAATTAAAATATCTCATTATCAAAAGTCATCTCGAATTTATTAATTCTAATCAATACATTTGTTAATTCAAATCATTTCTATATTAACAATAAACAATAAATATTATCAAATTTAAATTATCTCATATCATTTGATGAGAGTCAAATTCATACTTTATAAATTAAAATACTTACTTCAAGCGCTTTTTTTAAAAGCACAAACAACAAACTTTCTTTTGACTTCTTGAAAACTTTTACAAATTTTGCTTATTTTTGTGCTGCGTAGTTAAATTTAATTCGAATTTAGTAAACTATTTAATTCTAGTCAATTTTACAGATTCAATTATTCTGAAATTCTTTTGAAATAAATCAAGATAAAAGTTTTGTAAGAATTCATAAATTTGTTTATGTTTGATTTTAAATCAGTACTTTTGTTAATCAAAAAATAATATTCTGTGTTAAAACTATTCCAAAAATAAAAATCTATCAAAGATATGTAGAGAAAAATATATTAAAGGATATATACTTTTACAATATAAAAATGAAAAGTTTATCAAAACTTGTTGCACTAGTTGAGAGATTTATTAAATTTTATTTTGAATAAAACTTTTTTTCTTTCATAAAATCTTTCAACCAAAGTGCATTTTTAAAGAATAAAAAAAATCATAATAAATTGAACTTAATGTATGAACATAGTCAAAAATGAAATCTTAAAAGAATAAAATCCATTGAGGGTCGTTAATTTAATTCTTTACAAAATATTGAATATATTGTTTAAATCTTATTTTCTTGCTTCCCCGATCGTAAACAATTAGCGACCCTTAAATATATAAACATATATTTTTAATACAAAAAAATACAAGAAATTACTGTAAATTTAACTATATAGTTGATTCCTAAAACTTTGTCTGTTAAAAATAAAACCGATCGAAGAGTTAATGAAAAACTATTTTTAATTTAAATGTTTTAAAACCAAGTCTTTAACACTCAGAACTATATAATTTTATTTTATTTTTCTTCAAAATTTCCTTTTCATAAATATTTTTCATGGGAAGATTCTCAAAAGAAGTCAAAAATGCTTCCAAAATGGGAACATTAAAACTTCAAAATCAATAGATTTTGTTATATTTTAAGATTATTGTGTCGCTGATTTTTCGATTATATAAAAAAAATCATTTCTAAATTGTTGCTTACATAAAATTAAGTTAAAAAATGAGGCAAAATAAAAGCTAATATGAAATGATACAGAGTGTAAATTTATGTTATATTATGATATATGAACATTTCCAACAGAAATGATCCTCAAATGAAAGTTTGAAATTTATCAAGAATTTATAACTTAGGATTGGTTCCAAAAAGTTTGAAACATCTTACAACTAGAAGTTCAAATAAATCTTGTTTGAAAATTTCGCTATTCAAATAAGCTAACGGTTGAAAAGGTTATCTTTATTATAAAAATTTAACTTAAAAGTGAAAAGTAAATAAAGTTAATAAAAAATTGAAATTATTTATTAAATTCAAGAAGCATATAATAAATCCTTCTAGAAAAGGAAGGTTTGTAAAATTAAATTTAACATTGATTATGATTTAATCTTGTTTATATTACATAACAATTTACGTTCCTTATTTCAATATCATTAAAAGCAAGTTGAGACAACAATGATAAATTATACAATATAAGTTTAGAGCGATTCCATGAGCGAAGAAAAAAACCTACAAAAGTTTTTAGCAAATATTTTCCTAGATGACTTCTTTTACCTCAATTTTATGAGCTTACAATTGGTTAAATTTGAAACTTAACCAATTAAGTTCAGATTTCCAAAACTCATTTGCTAGAGAGTTTTTTGTAATGAAATTGATGATCTAAATGGTTAATATTATGTCTTAACATAGTATTATAAATTCATAATATTGTGTTAAAAGAATTTAATCAAGGAAATATTTGCAAAACAATTGGTGAATTGAGTTAAAACTCTGAACTGCTTGTGGCTTCCAAATAGCTGCAACTTTTTTTTCGATAATATTATTTTGTGTTTAATTAAAAAACCATTTATTAATTGCTGTTGTTTACTGAAAGAAGGTGGTACACTTAAATAAAATATTATATTTGTAATATTCAAAAAAGGTTTATATTTTTAAAATATGCATTTCAGTTTTACAGTTTCTTGTAGGAATCAAATCTTGAGACTTGTTCAACTATTGCAGTCATTTTTCATAGCTCTTATTAAAATTAAATCAAACTAGACGATAATTCATTTGAACCCGAATTCTTAGCATTTAAGGTCATCAAATTGATCTTTTTTGTAACTGCTGGAAAAGGAAAAAGTTTTTTTATGATTTAATTTTCCATTTACAGCATGACTAAACACATGTTAATTTAATTTGAATTTATTGTTGCTACATATGAACTAATTTTAAAAGCTCAAAAAAGTGCCCATACTTTTGAAATTTGAATTTTAATTATCTTTACTGAATTCACCAAGACTGCAGAACGATTTTTAATTCAGTTGAATTAAATTAATCGTTGTAATAGGACTGGAGTCAAACAATATGGCTTACGTTCTTCAAAAAATATATGATGGATATGAATATTTTTTCTACGACATAAAAGGTTTGGGGAAGATTTTTTTAAATGTGAAAGTAATGATAAATATATTTTAATTTTATTTTTTGTGCTTAAAGATGAACGTTCAGAAAATTTTTTTCTAATTGAAAATCCACCGATGCCAATTTCATTAATTTTGATTGGATATGTGCTACTGATAAAGTGGGGACCTATGTATATGAAAGAACGGAAGCCATTCGATTTGAAATATTTTATGATGTTTTATAATTTTCTCCAAGTTACTTTAAATTCGTATGTTTCTTTAATGGTGAGTTAATTTTAAAATATATAATCAACATTGAAATGCTTAATAGATTATCTGTATCCAGGCAATTTACAGAGTCTTAATAATTGGTGAATATAATTATGAATGTGAGCCATGTGACTATACTAAAACCATAAAAGGATTGCTACTGCTGAGATTAACTTACTATTATTTCCTGCTTAAAGTTCTTGATCTTTTCGATACGGTAAATGAAACTCAAAATTTTTTAATCTTAATCTCAATCACAAACTTTTTTCAAAAATGCTTTTAGTTATTTATTGTGTTAAGAAAAAAAGACTCAAATTTGTCATTCCTACACTGTTATCATCATTTTTTCATGGTTCTTGGAACATTTATAGGTAAGAAATAAATGTAGATAAATATTTGACTTAAACAATTTCGTCACTTGAATTTTTATGTTAACGTAGCTGTCAGATGGGTTCCTGGAGGTCATTCAACCATACTGGGAATCTTAAATAGCATGGTACATGGTTTTATGTATGCCTATTATTTTGCAACCGCATTTCGACCTGAATTAAAGAAATCATTATGGTGGAAAAAATATATAACACAAATTCAGTTGGTAAGTATTCACCTCCTTTATTTACTCCACTTTATTAACAAAAAACATTTCAATTCCAAACAATAGATACAATTTGTTCTTCTCCTGATACACTACTTACGTGCTACACTTGCACATGACTGCAAATATCCGAAATTTTGGCTTTGGATAATGGTCATTCAAAACGTATTTATGATATCGATGTTTGCAGATTTCTATTGGAATGCGTACATTAAAAAGAAGCAAAAATAAGATTTATTTGAATTTTATTTTTGAATTTTATTCATTATTTCATTGTTTTCCTTCGTCCATGGAATACTATTAAAAGCATTTAAAATCTGTAAAGATTTAATGATACTTACTACGAATAAATAATTAAGAAACAATTAAAATGTCTATGAATTTTCATTAATGTTATTCCTCAATGTTTTCCTAAAATTCCGAAGAAAAATAAAGTCTGATGTCAAATAATAACAGCACATGAAGACAATTTAATAATAACAACAAAATTTGGACTAGAAACTGTTTAGTGGAAATTAAAAATTTAAATGTTAAGGTCAAATGTATGTATATACTTGAAATTCTTGACTCTATACTTTTTTGAAACGAATTTAATGTTGGAATATATTTGATATCATATTTACTTTTTAGTGTCCAGAAAATGCTGAAAATCTGTTTAATATAATTTTTATTATTGCGCTAGGTCAATGTTATCGATTAAAGTATTTTATGAAGCCAGACAGCCTTGAAAACATTGTTGCATCTTATTATCATGCGTATATTTTCAAAAAATATTTAATTTCGGGACATATTTTACGGAAATGGAATTAAAACGTGATAATTTCATTTTGGTTTTTTGAAGCACAATTAAAGTTGATCTAATTAAGTTCCTAAGAATTTTTGTTTTAACACTTTAATGACCTAAAGAATAAGAAGAGCTGGTTAAACATTTAATTTGTGACAATTTTTTAAAATTTAACTAAGAACATTGATTAAACTTTGAGACTGAACAAATCACTTAGATATAATGAAATGACAATAAATTAAATTCAATGTATTAAAATAATTCCTATTGGAAATTATCAATTAAAACAACTCATTTATACTATTATGCGCATAAATTAGTCGTGAACTTAACATTCCGATTTTTTTTTTCATTAGTGTATAAATGAGGAACTTAATTTTTCAATAATTTTCTATTACTGTTCAGTTTTCAACTAAATTTTGGCGAATTTGATTGTAACACTGACATGGCTTTGGTTCTACAAAAAATTTATAAGTTTTATGATTATCATTTTAACGAAAATGTTGGTAAGAACGACCTTTTATTATATCAATTAAAATACGCAATTTAAAGTATTGTGATTTTTTTTCTTCTTTAAAATCAGATGAAAGAATTAAAGATTTATTTTTGATGCAATCTCCATGGCTGATTACATGCATTGTTGGTGGATATGTTTTTTTCGTTACTGGTTTTGGTCAACGGTTGATGAAGGATAGAAAAGCTTTTGATCTAACATCGATCATAAACATCTATAACATCATTCAAGTATTCTTAAATTTATTCATGGGTCTTGGAGTAAGTGCAATTTGAAATTATTAATAAAATCAAAGTTATTGATTTTTGTGATTGTAGGCGCTGATAACACTTTTTGATATGGACGATTTGAATTTAACATGTGTGCCTGTAGCTAGATTAATAAAAACAGAAATGGGAATGAAAATAATACGATTTAGTCATATGTATCATCTGATTAAAGTTATTGATTTACTTGATACGGTAAGAACTGATATTAAAATTATACATTTTAAAAAATTAATTACAAAATTTCTTTAGATTTTCTTCATTCTGAGGAAGAAGAATCACCAAGTCTCGTTTTTACACATCTATCATCATGCAGTTATGGCTGGAGGAACTTATCTATACATAAAATTCTGTTCTGGTGGTGGACAACCTTTATCACTTGGCATTATCAACAGTTTTGTTCATGTAATTATGTATGGATATTACTTCCTCACATCCTTTAAACCTGAACTTAAACAAAGTATCTGGTGGAAGAAACACATTACACAAATTCAAATGATACAATTTGCAGTTATAATTTTTCATCATTTACTTCCATTGTATTATGAATGCTCTTTCCCAAAAACATTATCAGCAATTGTTGCATTTCAAAATATCTTTATGCTTATCATGTTTTCGGATTTCTATGTGAAAGCTTATATTAAGAAAAAAAGTGTCAAACATAATTAAAATTTTGATTCTTGTGAGCTGAAATGTATTTAAATTATTTCAAAAGTGTTTAAAATTTAGTTGAATGTTTTCAGATTTATTATTATTTTTTAAAATGAAGGTTATCATTCAGAATATTATTCAAATTACTTCCTAAATTCAAGAACAAAAAATATAGAACATAGAAAGACCCAAAAGGTATTCTATATTCACGTATCCAAAAATAAGGAGACTTACTTAATTCCATATTGGTCTCTCTATTATTCTATCTGCATTAACATATAATAAAAGATTGGATTAAATAGCAAACGTTTATTAAGTCTTTCGAAAAATTTTAATCCTGCCATCGAGGATGTCGAAATAAACTTAAAAACTAAAGTTTTTCAATGAAATTTCTAGCATTATGAAATATTTATATTTTTTCAGTAATAGACACATATTTTCTAAATATTAAATTCATCAAATGAACGATTTTGGGCAAAAGGTGTACTAAATATTAATGTTATGAATCAGAAGGTACTTGGCGGATTAAACTTTACATTAAGCTAAACAAGCTCTTAATTTCATAGAAAGAGATTTACACAAAGTTAAAATGAATCAGATATCGAATACTGAAGAACAACTTTTTTAGTGTTTCAATTTCTAAGAATTTAAAGTCTTTTGGAAAATGCGCATTTTAGGAAAATCTTCAAACTTAATTCATTTATAACAATGTTGGACTAATATAAAGGCTTCTACAAACTCAAGCTTTAGTTTCTCGGCTATTTCTTTCAGCCTTTATCTATTCTATAGTATATAACCAAATAAAGTATATCCGAGAAACTGGTCCTTGTTGGATTGTATTTTTTTTCCAAAAATTAAATTAGTCTTTTAATTTACAAATAATATCGATTTTCCTTTTCGCTCTTATAAGCTCTAGAACTATCATTTCCGAATATAAATATCGGATTGTTATGAATTATTTATAGTACAAAATTTTTCACATCACTTTATCGTATTCTTGGTATTCTTTCAGAAATACATTTTATTACCTTCTCATTCAGATGTATAATTTTTCATTTACTAATCCATCAGTCTGTAATTACATTCCTCGAAATTTGTGAAAAATTATATTTGTAATAAAAGTTGTATCAAAAACGACAAATATGAATTTTAACTATCTTTTCTTAATCAAACAAAACCAGTAAGAGTTTGATCACTTATGATTTCTACCTTTTTTTAAGTTTTTAAAATTAGAATCTACTTTTAGTTTATTATTCTCAATCTACTTTTATTTTATAGTGCTTATCATACCATGATGAAAGAATCTTTAAAGTCATTTTTTCAAAGCACTTCTTATATTTCATTCAATACACATTTTTTATCGTGTATTTTCATCTTCACTTGAGCTTCTTATAGAATTGTATTGCGAATTTCGTGACTTAAGCATTCTTAAAAAGCTTCCTATAGCAAATATCGTTCTACGATGTCGATGAAAAATACCTTGGTATAAAGCATCGCGTAGAGCTTTTCTATCATCTACAACTTCAACTTGAGATGTTAATGATGATTGATGAGATAATACACGAGCTAGCCACATAAATAAAAAAGAGTATAAATAATTTCAGTTTAATTTTCATACAAAAAAGGACTACCTGATTTCGGAGACGTTGGAGACTTACACGATAAATCTTCATTTTCTGGAGAATTCAAGTTATGAGTTAAATCCAGTGTCAATTGCTTTTTAATGTTAGATATCTCTTCGTTTGGATTCGATTGAATTGACTCAGACAAACTCATTTTATCACAGAAATTTTTGTTTGGATCCGAGTGTAAAGAATTAATGGCTGTAGAACTAGTTGCTGTTGTACCATCAGAAATGTGATCGACATTGACTTTTGTAATCATTCTTCATACAATTCCTGTCGAGAGTTGTCTATTTGTTTTAATAGTTCGATTATAGTATATATTGGCACAACACTATGGGGCAAAATGAAAAAAAAAGGGACTTTCACTTTGAAAAATGGACTTTTCCGATTTACACTTTTTGGGTGATTTTTTCTTGTAGAGGACATAAAAGTAGATAGAAATGCCAAATTTCAGGTCATTTGGTGCTGATTTCGCGATTCTAGAGCTGTTTGAAGTTGAAAACTAGTGAAAATTCTGGTTTTTTCATACCATGTTTGAACCGGGAAATATCTTAACTGGTTTAAGATATTGCAAAACGGTTTTCAGTTCCTATTAGTAGTATATAAGAGCTTTATTTTGACATATAACAAAGTTTAGGTTCTGAATGTTTTCGTGCCATTATGGTAGAACATATGTGAAAATTTCAGGAAAATTATCTTCAAACAAGCCGCAACTATCATAAATGAAGAGTTTCCAGGCAAGTAAAAACGCAGTTTTGTAGCCCCATATATCTAGTTTTCAAAACTGTATAAACTTTGAAAAAGTAAGCTAACGTAATTGAGTTATGTTGATTTTAGTAGGTCGTTGAGTATTTGGCCAAAAACTAATAATTCTTTTGAAAATACGAAAACATAGTTTTAAAAATAGTTTTTTGGTGTTTTCTTATGAAAAATAACAATTTAAATGATTTTGTGAAGAAAATTTTTCAAAAACTTCAAAATCTTTCGAGATATAGGGGGTATGTGCTCTCCATCGATTTGGCCATTTGTCACCCTACTTAAACCACTATAACTTTTTTTTGAAAAAATATTTTTTAATTCTGTTTTCGGATTATTGTAGCCTAATGTAATACCTATCCAACGATATATAATACTTGCTAGTTAACTTAGTCCTGGTTATTTATAGGGCTGTTGATTGTGACATACGCAGTTTTTGAAATATTCCCAAAAATTGCATTTTCAAAAATACCACTTTTAAGCAATCTCGAGTATTTTTTGGACTTTTTTAAGAAATGTTAAGTCTGAAAAAAGCTATTATCATTAGAGTAATAAAAAAAATACTCTGATACGCAACTATAATAGGTAAAATTAATAAAGTTTAATTTTTAGTTTAATGAAATTTTGTTTATTTGTCAAGAAATTTAATTTACATTTTTTTATCATATTTAATGAAATTTATTTATTCATTCGTTGTTTGCTTCTTCAGAATATTCATGGTCTTGTCCTTCGGAATAATCATAGTTTTCTGCTTGGGAAAAGTCATAACCTTCTCCTTCTGGCTCAATCAATTCAATTTCTTCCTCATCTTTTTCCTCATTTTCTGTTTGTTGCTCAGGTGTTTCACCTTCTTCTTGGACATTTTTTCTCATTAACCTTTTATTTATTACATCCATATATTTTTTTATTATTACTGGATCAGAACTGTAGAGTCTTCTATGTATAACATCCGTAAAACTGTGTATTCTTGAAGTTTTTCTGGCACGTAGTTCTCTATCTTGTCTGAGATATTTGTTTTGTGACTCCCCGGCTTCTTCACTCATTCTTCCTAGAGGTAATGGTAAGGCTTCCATGTAGTGTTTTGCATGAGCAAGTGCTCTGTGAAGTGTTACTGGTATTTTGAACCAACTATATGTTGTCAAAAACATTCTGTATGTTTCTTTACAGTACCTATCAAATTCATCTAGATCATCAACTGGTTCTAAACTTCGAATTTGGTTTAGCACATAGCATATACGTTTAATTATTTCTTCATTAAGATATAGAGTTTTAGCTAGAAGCTCTGGATTTTCAAGAACTTTTCTTGCAACGTTTCCTGTATCTGATGATCCAGCTCCCCCTTGTCTTGGTTCGAGTACACGAACATTAAATGCATCCCACATTGCTTGCTTTATTCTAGCCTTTTCAACATCTAAAACAATCTGTTCCTCTTCAGTTATCTCCAGCCAGTGTTTTTGAACATATTGTTTATATGACAAATCATATAGAGTCGTGAGTACGTTCATTGATGTATGAAGTGGCTGAGTGTTGAAATACAAGTGTTCTTTAACAAATTTTCTGTGTGTTTTTTCGAATCTTCCATTATCAAGATTATTTATGTCACTCATCTCGTTTGGTCCAGATCTACAAAGCTGACATCTGCAATATCCTGATGTTTCTGTAAGGTCTGTGTAAACTTTTCCATCTAACATTGTGGGGTAGAATTTGTACGTAATTTCCAAAAGCATGTCTTCACATATGAATCTCTGTGGTTCAAGTTTTGATATTTGATTTTTTATATCTTCATATATCCTTCTAACATTTACTCTGGTTTCTTTGGCATGTTCAAGTTGTATTGGTCGTACTGAGTATACAGATTGACTGTTTTCGTTGTCCCATAAGCAGATATAATTTCCGTTTTCGTCTTCATGTCGTAGTTGCTGACATACTAACTGTCAATAGTGATTTGTCTTCTATAATTTCATTATTAGTCGTTTGATTCGGTTGTGTTCTATCTCGTTCTTGATTTCTTGAATTTGTTTTTCCTTGGTTATACTGTGACTGTCCTGTTGTTCCGTCCATCCCCCATGTGACGATCATTTCTGCATGAATAACTTTTGGAGTTGATTCTGAAGGTAATATTTTGATTTTGTCGTATATTTCTGAATTGTGTGCTTCAATAACTCTTTTTGTGGTGAGTTGTGTCAAATTTTTTAGTGGAATAACGGCTCTTGTATCGGTGACCGTTATGTCATCAGGATAGCATTGTTTCTCTAACCTCAACAATTTTTTAGCTGTCGGTAAAACGTTTTCGCATTCCAGTTTCAGGACTTGTCGAATATTGTTGTACTGATTTCGAGATAAATTGTTAAAGGCTTTTACACCTAGAGCTACATGTATATCTAGTTGTTTAGGTTTTGATGTAGTTTTTTCTGGAAGATCCTCTCCTTTTTGGCACGCCTTAATAAATTCTTTTAACATTTTAGCTCCTTCTACTTTTCCTTCTTCTTTAGAAAGGCGAAGTGCCAAGTGAAGAACTGATAACAATGATCCTTTTGCTTCTTTTAAACTGATATCTAATTCGTCCACTCTTCTACGTCGATGCTTATCGCTTGTTAGTTGTTCAAATGATTTCCTCTTGATGCCCTTGCTGGATGAAGGCTCTATGTCATGGACGATGTATTCAATCTCATCCATATCTTCATCTGTGTCAGTAACATTTTCTGCTTCATATATAGATTCTTCCTCAAAAAGAATCCCTCCACTAGATTCGCTGAAGTATCGTGAGTCAACTTCAAATTCCTCTTCATAGAAATCTGCATGATCTCTTAATGCATTATTCCAATTTGACTGATTACAAAACATTTTTGACTTTGACTTCAGCTTGTTTAATTTATTAATTAAACTTGGTTTCTGTGATTCCGCTAATTCTCTCCCATGAATTTCTTCTATTACTGCCAAACAGTACGTGTGCTGTGTTGCAAGATTTAACGTTTTGTCGCGAAGAATTTCACAGAGTGTTTTCTTCGTAAGTGTTGAATTTTGGTTCATTTTTGAAAGTGACTTGTTCAATGAAGTTCAAAACTGATATGATGTGTAGAGAGAATTTCACGAGTATATATATAAAATAGTTTCAAAACTGAGATTTTCACACCTGATAGTGACTACCAAGGGTACTTTACAAAGTTGTTAACTAGGGAAGTAAAAAGTTTCTAAATTTAATTTTTTGGCTTTATAATCTCATAAATGTCATAAATAAACATAAAAAAGTTCTAAAAAAATACTCGAGATTGCTTAAAAGTGGTATTTTTGAAAATGCAATTTTTGGGAATTTTTCAAAAACTGCGTATGTCACAATCAACAGCCCTATAAATAACCAGGACTAAGTTAACTAGCAAGTATTATATATCGTTGGATAGGTATTACATTAGGCTACAATAATCCGAAAACAGAATTAAAAAATATTTTTTCAAAAAAAAGTTATAGTGGTTTAAGTAGGGTGACAAATGGCCAAATCGATGGAGAGCACATACCCCCTATATCTCGAAAGATTTTGAAGTTTTTGAAAAATTTTCTTCACAAAATCATTTAAATTGTTATTTTTCATAAGAAAACACCAAAAAACTATTTTTAAAACTATGTTTTCGTATTTTTAAAAGAATTATTAGTTTTTGGCCAAATACTCAACGACCTACTAAAATCAACATAACTCAATTACGTTAGCTTACTTTTTCAAAGTTTATACAGTTTTGAAAACTAGATATATGGGGCTACAAAACTGCGTTTTTACTTGCCTGGAAACTCTTCATTTATGATAGTTGCGGCTTGTTTGAAGATAATTTTCCTGAAATTTTCACATATGTTCTACCATAATGGCACGAAAACATTCAGAACCTAAACTTTGTTATATGTCAAAATAAAGCTCTTATATACTACTAATAGGAACTGAAAACCGTTTTGCAATATCTTAAACCAGTTAAGATATTTCCCGGTTCAAACATGGTATGAAAAAACCAGAATTTTCACTAGTTTTCAACTTCAAACAGCTCTAGAATCGCGAAATCAGCACCAAATGACCTGAAATTTGGCATTTCTATCTACTTTTATGTCCTCTACAAGAAAAAATCACCCAAAAAGTGTAAATCGGAAAAGTCCATTTTTCAAAGTGAAAGTCCCTTTTTTTTTCATTTTGCCCCATAGTGCACAACATACATAGATGTATAAAGTTTACAAATAAAGATCTTATACGGAAGATTTTTTTTTTATTAATAAGAAAAAGTTAAGCTCTTCTTTTTTTAAGCCTTAGGTTTTAATCAGATACGAATAAAGAAAGTTTATTGTATTCAAGGTGGTCTTGATTCACTGCAATAATTTGCCATAGGAATAGTTAAACAATTTTTGTTTTCAATCGCACTTCTATTATCACTCAAATCGTTATCACTTTTGTCCTGTCTTGGTTGTTTGACTGTAGAAAAATCACTGAAAATTATTTTTGGCGGATCTTTGATATGATTTGTGCTTTCTGAATTATTATTATTATTATTATTTGTATCACTACAGCTCATATCTTGTGACTTGCACGTTGGATGTATAGTAATAGATTGTCCTGTACTTTTGGAATGATTTCTTGTGTCAAATGTTGGAGTAACGTCGCAGTTTGTATGCAAATTAATGTTAAGCTTATTAAGATGATTAGTTAATATAGTTTCATTTATTTTATCCGATCCGAATGAAGAATGTTCCAGTGATAATGAAGGCTTTGATTCATTAGTCTCAATTGCTCTATGATCTCCTGTAAATGATTGTCCTTTAATACTTTTTTCAACCTTCTGATTACAGTCATTTAAATTATTTAAATAGTTTTGAATACAATTATTATAGCATTCTGAAGCTAAGCAAATGAAATGGTCGATTGAACTATTTGTGACTGCAAACGTTTTAATTGCATTTGTTGACGTTTTATTCAAAAGTGGGGATGTGCATTGTTGCTTCCTTTTTTCTTCAAAATCGTTCGTAAGCCGATAATAATCTTTTGTGCAAAGACACGTTTCATTTGCAAGTGGCTTTAAGGAGGAAGTTAATATTGCTGACGTATCATAATATGGTTCGACAGCTCTGAAATGCTCTCGCCTACTTCGAAATTGGCTGCTGAGTATTTTCTCAAAGTCTTTTATTGTTACTGCAGATTTTATTTCAATCAATCGATCGTTTATTATTTCATTATTGTTGTAATATTTACAAAGTGTTTGCCGTCCGCGAAATAATAATTGATCACCAAGCCTACAAAATATAAGGGTATTAAACAAATGTGGTTTTAAATTATATAGTCACATTTGTGGGAAATGTGATACTGATTGTAAAAAATTTATATAATAAGAATATTTGAGTGTGCTTCATCGTTTAGAAAACAAACAAAATTATCAAATCGAGTCTTGTACTCGTGACGTTTAAAGTTAAAATGTGTAACCTTACTAATTATATATCATTTGTGAACGTCTTAACAAACCTTGGAAACTCAAAGCATGTTATAGAGAGTGGTTCTCGGTCTGTGTAATAATTTTTAAATCTCTTGGGTCGTTTCAAAACCTTTCTTCTGTGAGTCACATGCTCAACAGTGTCAGCTAAATTACGTCTTATCACTTTTGTATTGCGATTCGACACCTCTTCACTTTTAAACGGAACAAAGATTTTCTTTTGAAATTTGAAAAAAGTTTCAAAGCCAGGCACATTTTTTCCGAATTTCCGTTCTTTAAATTGCAAAGACTTTCCATTGACATTAAGAGATTCCATTATGAATGAACTTGAAAAATAAATTCCCTAACTTGTAAGATTTCTGTTCAAGTGAACTTTCACAAATGAATAACGCTATGTTTGTGTAAAAAAACTTTGAAGGAAATATTCAGTCACAAATTGTATAAAAAAAAAAAGAAATTTACAACAATAGATAGAAAATTCGGTAATGAGCAAGCTATAAAGTTTATGAATATCACTTAGGATTTTTTATTTCTGATTAGTCATTTTCTTACTTTAGGACAAAAAAAGAATATAAACCAGAAAATAATTTTGGTTTTTTTTTCATATTTTAATACTATTCATCGCATTTTTATCTTAATGCTTGTCATTTTCCACCCTTTTGTCCCGAACCTATTTCTTTATTCTATGATAAAAATATTCAATCAATGTGCAATGCCGTATATTAAATTTATCAACCGTTTTTCTGATTTCTATATTTTCGTATAAATTTGTTGAAGTTGTATTATTTCTTTTAGAAATTAAGGCATCTCTTCGTATCATGTAAATTATTATTTTTATTCACGAAATGGATATAACATTGGATATACTTTAATAAATAGAATAAAATGTATATATCTAATAAAAATCTAGTTTTTTTTTTATGTTTCTTTAATTTCAATGTTTTGAAGACATGAAATCAAGAGAATAGACGAAATTATTTATTAAGCTAACAATAAAACAAGGTTCGGGGAATAAAATTCTTTTGAAATAAATAGATACATATCCAGTGACTAAGGGAGAAATTTATTGATTTTTTATGTTCACTTCTAAGCTACATTTGCTAACTTTAGAAGGAATAAATGTTCTTTAGAAACCTCATTTCCTTCATATCTTCTTGTTATGCAGAAAGTTTCTGTGGATTATGTTTCTCATTTATTTTAGCCATTCATATTTAATAGCTTCTAGGAAGTAATCTTATGAAGAAATTTTTTCATAATTAAATGGTTTTTTTTCCAAACTTCGGGATCTATACTTAAATGTGCCGAAAATTCTTGTTTATAACAATTATTGATTGTGCTTAAAGTTCAACACGTGATTTAAAATATTGTAAGGAATGCTGCAACCATAAGTTTAACTCCATTTATTGAGATAAATTTAATTGTAGATTATAGATTAAGAAGTCAGGACATATTTTCATTAGAATTTATTTCTTAAGTTATAGAAAGAATTACAAAATGATAATATTTATGAAAATATATTTTACAACAACATCACGATAGACTTCGAACTTAAATGGTTCAACATTTAACTGACCTATTAAAAATTGCTTCATCTACCAAATAGACGAAGCGGAAAACATCTAAAGTTCCTTTTCTCATGTATGAATCACTAAAACAACCAAAAGATAATATTATGTGTGATACAATGAAAATATAATTTCAAACACACAATGCATCCTATTTCCACTGCTTCCGATATTGCAGTTTTCCACTCTATTTTGAAAGCTCTTTACAATTTGCACGTCAATCAATAATTACTTTATGCATTTTTATGCATACACGTATGCAAATAATAAAGCATAATTTAAATTTCTTTTTTCTTTTTTTATTCACAATTAAATATGTCAATGTCTGTCATGCTTATTTTCAATAATTTAAAGTAACAAAACAAAATTAAGGAATTTAATATTGTAGATTAAAAAATTATTCACCAGAGTTTTCGATTGATGGTTTAAGTCAAAAGGTTAAAAAATATCAATTATTTAAAAATAGAAAACAGTTTATTGCCTTTTCGACTCACTTTTTTAATAAGCAAATTGTTCTTCTGGGAATTTATGATTATCTAGTAAATTACTTTTTTTTATTATTTAAGTAATTCCATTGATTAATTACGTCGAATGTTCTTAATTCTTATCTAATATCATAGCTTCAAATGATACTTAAAATAAAAAATATATAACTCACGCTTATAAAATTCAAACACTTTTCATTTGGAATCTCCTGCTTTATCCATTTTTAAATTTAATATAGAGTAAAAACATTATAACAAAGTATCACTAGTAAGTAAAGAACGAAAATGAATAAAATTTTGTTTACATCAAAAGCTTTGGAAAATGAAATTGAATTGTTGCGCATTGGAGAGAGAAAATGAAGCATACAGAGAAAACGGAGAGGAAGCATTCATAGAAGTATGTAAATTTTTGTATCAGCAAAAAAATATTTAAAATTAAGCAAGCATAAATTTTCATCATGTCGATTTTGATCATTGTGACTAACTTAGAATACTTATATTGTCATAAATTTAATTGCGATCCTTAGCAATATAACTGGAATAGTAATTGGCGACATCTATGAATGAAAGGCTGAAATAATATCTTTTTTCGTATGATAGATGTCGTGTTCTTTTATGTTAAGAACAGAACTGACTGAAATTAATATTTACATATGCTGTGTTGCATTAATTATTAGACAAAATGAATAAAGAATCATATGTCAAGTTTCAGTTGAATTAATGTTTTAAAAAAAGTGTCGTAAATATGTTTATTATAATAAACTTAAATTGCATGAATAGGTGTACATTTTAATCATAAGGAATAAACACAAAAAATCTTATTAATACATTATTTTGCTTTGGCTGATAATGGTCTGAAAGGAGATTAAATAGAAATATCATAATTAAGAGTTTCAATGTGTACAATTTATGTTAATGATTAACTTACTTTGAATTAACCGAGATGTAATGGTATCCTACAACCAAAAGAAATAGAATCACACCAATTATGTTGGAGAAAATAGCCAGTTGAACATCAGAAATCTAGAATGAATAGAGTTTTGAGTATTTAAAGATGTTTTGTATAAACTTTGTCACTAAACAATCATGTTAACTTTCCGGTCAATTCAATTTTTTCTATCATTTTATCTAATAAGCTATTTCCCATATAGTTATACAGTATATCCTGATTATTAGCAATTGTTTCCTTACCATTTTTACGTTTTATAGTTTATTTTATGCCGGAAAACTTATTTAAACAATATTTTTACACCACGTATGAGACGCTGAATACTTGCTTAATATTTTGGCTAATTCCACGAATGCAATCTTTTTCATTCTTTTTTCAAACGGGTTTTTTTTGAATTTCTTAAAACCAACACCAAGTCATATTATTCAGCAACGTTAAATTGTGAATTAGAATAATTTCATTTTTTTACTGTAAATTGGTGCTTATTGGCTTTAAATATTATATATTGACTAAGCTTAAGTTATTTAAATTATTTTATAATTGAAGGATAGTTCTTAAAGGGCTAATTTTGATCTTTTTATTGTGAAAAGGTACATTTTGTAAAAATGTGTGAATGTGTTAGTGATAAATCATAATAAAAACAAGAGTTTCCAAAGACGACAACAAACTATTTGAGACCAATCATTAAGGAAATGACAAATTAAATTAATAAGTCGTTCAATCAGCTACCGTCAACATAAACATTGATTTTTTTAATAAAAAATAATTATTATCGTGTAGGTAAGTAGAAAGCGAAGTGCTGAATAAGAAAGATTTGTGGAAATGCCCGACTTGAAATTGAGTGACATGATTTTCGAATGTAATTCAGACATTTTAGCATTAAGAAATATATCAAATTAAGTTTTTATTATTTTAATAATACATCCTATTAGAGTTTCAAACAGTAATTGAAGCTAAACACTAGTTATTCAATTGATTAACTATTCCAAATATATTACTAGTTTAGTGTTTTTCAATGTATATAGTCAGAAATATTAAAATAGTTCATTGAAAAAATCCTAGGTGTTTTTTCGAGATATTAAACTAAGAAAAATAACTGCAAATTTGTGAGAAATCTTTTCAATTCTATGTAAATTTATACATTTTACTGCTCCTTGCAAAACGACTAAAACAGGAAAAGTCTTAAAGTGTTTAGAATAGGATCTAAGGTAAGAAAGTAATAATGAATGGATTAAGTAATGGCGAACTTTCATTTTTGCAAGAGAAAGAGGAGAAAAAATTAAACTGATGACGCAAAATTTTTAAACATTTCTTTTGATGCTTATTCCAAAATTAAAATTGATTATCTGCTTAAATTTTTTAATGAAAACACTACTAGTTTTATCATTAATTAGCTTATTTTAAAAGTTGAAGGTAACAAATTAATTTTCCATTTTCATTTTCTTTATTTTCAGTGTATGTTCTACAAGATAAATTCTATATACCTAACTAGCTTCATAGAAGGATAATTTTTTTAAAAAAAAAATCGATTGATTTTTCTTCAAGTCTTTTATCTTTATTTACATCATTTTTAAATTGAGATTTTCTGCAACAAAAAAAAATAAACTTTTTCCTTTTTGAACTGTGATAACGATAGAGAAAAGTCTAAAGGAAGGGAATTTTTCGAAATTTTTTCTACTTCATTTTTTTTTTGTTCGGTGTTCAGTGCTATTTTCATTTATAATTTTATTGTTGTCGCATTATTTATTCGTTTTACGTATCATTGTAAATTTGGACAAGATTTTGTGTAAAGCATAAGTCAACGTAAAATGTCTAGTATAGAAGGAAGTTCTATGGACGAATCCAACAAAATGGATGGTGAGAATCTGGAAGGTAAGTTGATAATCTTTTCTGTGAGACGACTTAATCAATAATTGATTATGCAATGCCATTTATCTAATAATTCATTGTTTGTTTATTTGTTTATTATTATTTCCAAATTTTGTCTGTGGCCTAACGTGTGTCTAGATGAAACATCAAATGACATTCCACAACAAAGAACAGGTCCACCAATTCAAATAATTCGTTACTCAACCGCGACACTTTTCGCATTGAGAAGTTCAAAACTGTCACAACAGAGACCAGCATGCAAAAATATGGATTTAGCATGTATGATTCATATGAAGCCGCCCCCAAAAATGCTGATTGCAAATATGATGCCAAAATTTGCACTCAATCAGATGCCTAATCGTGGAGAAGAGTCCATCTCACCTCTATCGTTTCATTCCAATTCCTCGTCGTCGTCGAATTTATCATATCAGAAACGTTATCAAGATGGAAAGTATGATAATGGCAGTGCTAACGATGGATACAACACCAGTAATCGATATTATTATAACAAATATAAGAATAATGATGATGGAAGTTCCTCTCGAATCATTTATAAGACAACAGGAGCAAATGCAAGTAATGGAAACAGTATTCGGTTCTTGAAGAAGGCTTATAATAACAAGTATGAGGAGCATAATAATTCACTTGGATTGATTTCCAACAAAAATATCCTTGACAATTCAAGTCGAGTCATAACTGCTGCTGATCATCGAAATTCAAGGAAAAAAGTTGAAGTAGATGTCAAGAATGAAATTAAAAGTAGTAAATCTAATGATATTAGCCACAACGAAGATAGTGAGAAGAAATTACCATCAGATGAAGCAAACAATAACTCAGAAAACGACAAAAATGACAACAAAAAATTGACTGAAGTTAATGCAAATGATCTGATGCTACGAAATGATCTCAAAAAGCTTCCTAAAGATTTGGATTTAACAAATCATTTGGATGATATTTTTAATGATTTGAATATTAATCAATTGCTCGATGATAACAATATGCCCGACGAACGCGAGTCTTCTCGTTTCAGTAAATGGTTTACAAAGGATGAAGCCAAGGATGAGCAAATTCCTGATACACAAAATAACAACGGCAACAATGTTATCAATAATAAGCATGCAAATCTCTCAATGTTTGCACATGAAACTGACAAGTTTTTCCAGCCAATTGACAAAGTTGAAAGCAACTCAATGTTTAATATGATGAAGGTACATGAAATGGAAAATCAAAGAAACGATCCATTGATGAATATGTTGAAGCACCAACAGCCGATAGCTACTTCTTCATCAACGTCAGCATTATCGCCAAATTCTGGACAGGTTCATAGTGTTGAAGAGCTCGAGGCTAAATTGAGGCATCATAATGAGGACAAAGATCGTAAAAGTAATGAGAATGAAAAGAAAGTTCTTCAAAACTTCTTCCAGCAACAATTAATTCCGAATTTAATGCCACAACAGAGACAACATCAACCAATAAATCAGCATCAACAAAATCAAGATGACATAAATGCTTTTAAGAAGCTTTTATCACAAATTACCAACGACAATGATAAGATTTCGAGTCCAATTGTGACAGCACCGAGTAATCAAAATATGTTGCAGCAGTTGATAAATAAAGGATTTCAAAGTAATCCCGATGTCATGAATCAATATCAAAAATCCTTTCCAATGACTGGGAAAGTTCCACCCGTTAATTCTCAAAAACTCATTAATCCATTGAATTCGGGAATGATGCAACAGCAGTTTTCTGGCAATGTAGACTTGAAATTTTTACAGCAACAACCACCGCAGCCACAGCAGAAAATTCCATTGCCCGATATTATGAAGAGACCCGAAGTTCAAGCTCTTGTTCAAGGTACTTTATTGGTCATTTAATGTTATAATTTTCGAATTTTCTAGAGTTTGTTATTATTTTTTTGTTTTAAATTTTTTTTTTCTTCAATTTTAGAACTGACATCAGGAGAATTATCACAGTACACTTTGTGGCAACGATTGACGGCTCCTGGCTTAACACCGATTGAGAGAGATATAATAACGTGTGCATTGAATGTATTTAATACAAATAGCAATAATGGAAATTCTGGAATGTTTCCAAAACAGACGATTGGTCCAAACCCAAATTTGTATTCACAAAGTGGACCAATTCCTACAAATCAAAATGCATCTCAATTACATCAATTAATGCAACATCAAATGAAAGCAAGCACACTCACAGCACCGATTCCGATTCCACCACAAACTTCTCCGCTTTCTCCAGTTCCTCCAATCGAACCACATTTATTGTTTCAACATCAGGCAGCTGTTGCTGCAAATAAACAGTTGCGTCTTTCACCATTACCAGCTTCTGGTAAGTTCATTTCTTTTATAATAATTATCCATAAATTTTCGGTTCAAAGATAAATTCGTGTTGAAAATTTTTTTTGCACGCTTTCAAGGACTTTCAATGGGTCCAGCTGTTTTAACACCGAATAATTTGACACTTCAAGTGCCAGGTATTTGTCTTGACTAATTTGCTGGAAATATTTAAATTCCCTTGAAATTTATCACTAATGAACCTTTTGATGAATTTTCACTTATTCCAATTAAAATATTCTACTTGATAGGAATGCCTCAAAGAATTCCAAGTCCTCGTGAGCTTCAATATCATACACAGTCAATTATGCAAAATGCACTTATCCGTAAGAAATTGGAGGAGCAACGTGAAAATTTCCGAAAACGACAAGAGCAAGAGAAACAAGAAATTGCAAAAAAGAGTCAGCATGACATAACATCTACTGCTGGTGATGTATGTACTGAGCAGCAAAATAATATAATTACTACAATTGCATCATCACAACAAGAGGAAGTATCAAAGAATTCGAATGATTTATCTCCAAATAAAAAGGTGATTTCAATAGTAAATCAATCGCAAATGCAGCGTCAACATGCTCCGTCGCCAAGCATTTTCACACCAACATCTGTATTAAGAAAAATGACTGCCGAAAAGGAATCTGATTCGGGAAAGGCAACATCAAACGTTGGTCGTATCGACGATAAGAAAAAGCAAGTTGCAAACATGCAACAACAACAACAACAACAGCAACATTCTATTCGAAATCAAATGCCCCAACCATTCATGAATAACATGAATCCAGTTGATAGAATGAAAATTCAAAATGAAGCATTTGGGTGGGAACCTCATCAACAGCAAATTGGGGGAATTAACAAACCACCAGGTTAGTAAACCATAAAAAGTTATGGTCGAAACTTTTATTGAATTATTAATTATTAGGACGTCCAATTGTAAAATCATTAGCACAACAAACTGCCGCCGGAAATCAACATAACAATATGAATCAAGCTGGTCAAGTTATGACATCTAATTCCGTTAATTACGATTTCCAACAACCACAACAGCAGCAGCAGCAACAACAACAAATGCAGAAATTGAATCAGATTCAAAAGGCACAATTTTTACAGCAGCAACAGATGATGCAAATGAAGAAACAGCAAATGGACAACAATCCAGTATTGTCACAATTTATGGCTCAACAGCAGCAACGAGCACAAGCTCAGTCACAATTTCGTTCTCAATTTCAACAACAACAGCAGCAGCCTATGAACTTTCAATCAATGATGCAAGGACGTGCTGACAAAAATGAAGATTTATGTATGTTCCTTCTGTCTTTCTTTTGTCTAATACTTAATATTAATTTTGAAATTATGAATTCCAGTGGATAATCGCAATATCTTGAATAATGGAGGATGCTTGTCCCCAACAAGTAATCAATTGGCAAAATGGTTTTCACCAGAATTATTAGCAGATGCTTCAGCCGGAAAATTGCTCCCGTCTTTAAATGTAGGACAGATGATGAGTTTAGAAGAATTGGAAAAATGCATGCAAAATTCATAAATGTTCTTGGTTTGATTATAAAAACCATCATGATTTTGTAAAGTTTTAACCTTCAACCTTAAAAAAATTATGAAAATGGAGCGAAATAGAATTCATTAAATGGGAAGAAAAAAAAAACATTTATTTCTTTTATTGCTTATTTTTTCAGGATTTCGTTAAATGTGAGCGCGTGCCTCAATTTTTTTAATAATTCATTTGATGCTAAATGACATAATTAAACTACATAAACAATTAGATTTGATTTTATTAAAGTTCAATATAAAGTCAAGTTTATTTCCTTCCATGACTTCTTTTTATTTTATTCTTCTGTCTAAACTTCCTTTTGGTCATTATTGTGTAGCATTAGCATATAGATTTGTTTTCGAATATAATTTAAAAAAAAAATAACTAAGCAGATGTTAAAATGTTATGGACGAAATGCATTAATAATAATCTCGAGGTCACTGTACAATTTCGACAATGGGAAATTAAAGCCACTTACTTACAGTAAAATTTATTGGAACAATGTATTTAACGTGATTGCTTGAATGACATAAGGAGCCGTTCACTTAGGGGCCATTCACTTATTACGTAACGCTTTTAGGGGGAGGGGGGGGGTCTAAGATTTTGTTACGATTCAAACAAGGAAATTTTTTTTTTCATACAAATTTTGTTACCAGGGGGGTCTAAGAAGTCATTTTTTCGCGTTACGTAATAATCGCAGCCCCTTATTACGTTACGCAAAAATGTCTTTTTTCACCCCCCCCCCCCCCCTATGTTACATTTTGTTACAATTTTTCAAAACCCCCCTCCCCCCTAAAATGCGAACGAAATAAGTGAACGGCCCCTAAAGCAAATAGTTATTAAGAAATAGAAATTTTTTGAGAACGTGATTCAGAGAAAGGAACAACTTTTTTCCAGAACTGAACATTACTTTTTTTTAAAATCTTTTATTCTTTGCTCATGTACATGCTTCTTATTTAGATCTACATGTTGCGTTTGAAGTAAATGAAAATAAGGGTAAGAACAAAAAAAAATATGAAGCAATTGAACATTTTTCTCTGGAATGTCTTTTCGGCAAAATGAGTAGGATTAAGACAAGAAAAGAAAGAACTTAAATCCTTTCATATTTGTTTTGGAATTCTTATGCGGAAGAAGACAAAAATAGGCTTAGGTTTTTGTAGTTATTAACATTTTGAGAATAATGAGAATAACGAACATGCTTATGGATCAGTCAATCAGTTGAAGCTTTACTTGAATAGATAACAGAAACTCCCACATTTTATACGTAATTTACCACATCTTTGTGCCACAATTTTTTATGTGAATTATTTTTTTTAAATCTTGTTTATTGATTTATGCTAAAATGAAGTCTTTGTGAAGATTAAGCACATTGACATAACAATCAATTGTAGCCGTAAATCTTATCGTTTCATCATACCAGCAGCATATTCCCAAAATAGTTTGTTTTCGTTAAAGATAAGGAAACCCTAAAAAGTAAACGACTGCTTCCAATGCGATTTGACACGATATTTCCAAAACTTCCAGGGAAATAATTTTCCATTTTCCACCCCTTTGTAATGAAAATGAAAAAAAAAAAGAGAATAAAGTAAAAGATACGTGAAAATAAGTCAAAGAAAGGAAATATTTATTTTTTGTTTTTTAAAAAACCTGACTTGAGTCATTCAAGCAAAACTGTTGATTAAAATGTCGTTTATACAACAAGTTACAGTTTAATTGTTGTATTTCAATGTGATTATTAAGTTTAATCGTTATTCCTTGAATTTTCTTGTTCATGAGATTTTGAAAACGACATAAATAAATGGAAACGAAAAAGAAAATGTAGATATAATAAAAAGCTTTTAAAATTGTGAAGATAGAAGCCATTATTTTATATGAATGAATGTTTATCCTGAAGTAAAGTTACGAAAACATATATCCGGATTCCAATTAACTTGAAAAAAATCTGGTGAAAGAAAAATTTTAGAAAAGAAGTTTTAAAAATTTGAAATCACTATCTAAGTCCTAATCTTCAGTCATGCCGGAACAAAGTAATGACTATAGAGTCGTGACGTTTGGTTCAGGAGGAGTTGGCAAATCAAGCCTGGGTAAATATGAAATTTTTCTATAAACTGTCCATTCTGCAAACCGCCCACATACAATCCAATTTTTTTTTGACTATACATGCACAAATATATAGTGCACTAAAATATTTATTCCTTTTCAACAATATCGATAAAAAAAAAAATCTTTAAAATTGGCATTCACTCCTGATTAATCTATTAAATTTGGAAAGCAAAGTGGACTAAAATAATAAAAAAATTCCATTTGTTGAAGTAATATGCTGACAATGCGTATCTCTTTCAGTTCTGAGATTCATAAAAGGAACATTCCCAACCAATTACATCCCAACCATTGAAGACACATACAGACAAGTGAGTTTAAACTTTTGATTTCGTGTGCCAAAAAGATATTTTATAAGCATAAATAATGCAGAAGTTGTCAAGGGCAAAAATCATTTCCTTCAAAAGCAACTTACTACGAATTAGAAATTTGTGGCATGAATTAATAAATTCTAATTTGCCATCATAATTCTGCATATATTTGTAGAATCATAACTATAAGTTCTTTATGTTTTTCAACTTTAGGTGATAACATGCAATAAGAATATTTGCACACTTCAAGTAAGTATACAATATGGAAACCTTTCGATACAAAAATATATAATTTCCTTAATTGAAATCAATTTATATTTTTATTTTTAAGGTTACTGATACAACGGGCAGCCATCAGTTCCCCGCTATGCAACGATTATCAATTACAAAAGGACATGCTTTCATATTAGTGTACTCAGTATGTTCGAGGCAAAGTTTAGAAGAATTACGACCTATATGGCAGCTTATTAAGGAAATTAAAGCTGAGACACTTAGCTCTATACCTGTGATGCTTGGTAGGATTTGACTTTTAATGAATTAAGGAATGGTTGTTTCCACAATTTCAATAATTGCAGTTGGTAATAAAATAGACGAGCCGGCAGAACTACGAGAAGTGACTCATGCGGAGGGACAAGCTCAGGCTGCAGAGTGGAGTGTACAGTTTATGGAGACATCAGCGAAAACAAATCACAATGTAACTGAATTATTTCAGGTATGATTGCAAATAAATTAAGTTTTATTGCCAAAATTGTGACGATCGTGATTAACTTTCTTTTTTAAGGAACTATTGAATATGGAAAAGAATCGAAATGTGTCACTGACAGATAGTAAAAGCAATAAAAAGAAAGGAAAATCAAAGAAAAAGGAACAGAATGGAAGCGCAGGTTCTTCAGGAGAGGGAAGCAGTGGAGGTAAAGAAAAATGTCAAGTTATGTAAACTAAAACAATGCACGCTTTAATCAGAAACGAATGTATCTTAAATTTAATTCTTTAAAGAAACATTTTAAGTTCTTAATGCGTAATAAAATATATAAATACTATTTTAATGATGATGAAATCAAGAATCAAGCGATAAAGGATATATAAGATAGATGAAACTATTTTTTTAAAAATAAATGAGCATTACTGTACATTAATTTTGTCAATAAATGTTTTATTCAAGTAAGTTGAAAACTATAAAAGTCTGTAAAAATCACAGATGAATTTATAGTTTTTAAAGTTTTCATTGTCACTTATCTTCATGAGTTTTTTTTATCTCTTACATTAATAAGATTTTAATTGTGACATTTTTTTCAAAGAACTAATAGTTTCGAGACAGCGAATGATAAGAAATCATAATGATAACTTATCATTTAATTAAAAATTAATTTATCATGACATCGATTGTAGATAATTAAAGTTTTAATTATATAAATTAATAGTATGCTACATATCATTAAAATAATTTATATAGAAATAAAGTTGTTGCTCTAAAACCTAATTGTCGGGGAAAAGCATATTTAATATCGACATTATTCTTATGATAACAACGACAAATAGAAATTAAGTCAATTTAGTTTCAATTCTTTAAGTTTACAAAATTTGGTCATATTTCGTTCATTTGAAACAAAATAGAATTGTTATCCATAACTACAAAATGGTTGATGTGTATTTCATGCGAAGTCTTTGGAGGTGTTTGGCAAGAAAATAATTGGCATTAAGCTTGAAGCAAAACTTTACGAAATAATTATTTTATTCTTCAACCCACTGAAACTTTTTTTTTAAATTTCAATTTTTGGAGTAATTATTTACAGAGCTCGAAGTCGATAGGGTACGAGTCGACTAGAGTCGAACTTAATTTGATGTTAAATTTGCATTTCTCTCAGAGCAATTATTTTATTTAAGATTATATCAAAAATCGACCCTATACTTTTTAGCATCAAATTACAGCTGTAATTTTAGTACAGCTGTAATTTGATGCTAAATAGTATAGGGTAAAAATCGTAAGAAATTATAATCAAGAATTTTTAAAAATTATTATCATAAATACTTTATGTGTTTATTGTATCAAAAATATGCATTTAATTCAGACCAAAAAAAAATTAGTAGTACCTTCGAAATCTCCACAATAAGTTAAGAATAAAAAATATTTGATTTGCGATTGGAGAAATTTGGAAAGCTTTCGCTAATTTTATTCAATTAGCTAATTCAACTGGTTATATAAATAAAGAGATGTTAATGGATATTTTTTTACAATCCTTCAAAGTATTTTATGCATAGCTTATTGATTTTCATAACAGATTGTGATAATTCAAGACATTCAATAGAAGGAAATCTAAAATACAGTTAAGGATCATGAGAAAGTCTGCATTAAAAATCTCTTTTAAATTCATAGTTTCAAAAACAAAATTGTGATAAAACTAAGTTTGACCATTCAATAGAAACTGTAGGAAGGTTAATGATAAATTTGCACCTTAGTCCTGTTATTGCTTATATAATTTGAAAAATATGAATTTTTATGGCACAAAGATACTTTTCAATTTGTGTTAATACAAAGATGATATGCCTTGAAATTTAATTTCAAAACGAAGTCATGTGTATTATACATCATGTATATATGCATTATTATGTTGTTATTGTATATCTGGCTGTAAAAAGGAAATTCTTCATGATTAATTCAATAAGCTTAAAATGACCAAAAAAAACATGTTGAAAAATATGAAAATGAAAATGACGAATATGATTGCAATGATTTTTGGATGTTTATCACGATTACAAAGCTTGTTCTAGTATAATTAACTATTTTCTTAATCGCATGATTTTTAAATGCATAAATAAATTTTTTATATGTTGAGTTTTCGGAAAAATTTGTTCTAACATAAACAAAAAGTATGTAAAAATACGGAATTTAATGGATAAATTAATTCAATCGCTAAGTAGAACAATGAACACAAATGAAAAATATACATCGAGAGTTTTTTTTTCTTGAAAAATGCATATTAACGCATTATTATTTATTAAGTATATAAAGAACATTTTGAACGGGTAACATTATAAAATTAGATTCGATTTTAGACAAATTATGAAAGCATGATTATAAAATGCGGATAATTCATTGATTCTTTGTGATACAGAACACAAACTATTTGATTTATTTCTGAATTAAACCAGACCACGACAATTAATCGCAAAAGTTTGTTTATCAAAAATTCAACATGCACGAGTTTTATAAATTTGAAAACAAATACAATAAAAATATTAAAAAAATAATCTAGTTATGCATAAGTTGATTATAGAGACGATTCTAACATAAAACAACGATGACAAGATCACAATTTATTAACTTACAATATTATTATGGTTATTATTATAAAATGCTATAAAATAGTATAATGAAATAACAAACCTATTATGAAATAATAGAAGAGATAAATAGCAAAAATGTGATGAATGGAAGTATTTGTTTTAGATGTAGCAGATTTCACTGATATATAGTACTTGGAAGGTTTAAGCTTTTTGCTGTTATTTAGCTGATTTAATTTTATTTTCCAACAATTTAAACAGGTAAATCTGCTTCATTCACTAAACTGAGATTTTCCATTCCTCATAAAATTATATATAGATACAATGCTTTAAAAGCTTTTTTATATTACACATTTTGAGTTATCAAGAAGTAACATTTTGCATTTATTGCCGACAAGAACATAACCACCACCGATTAATTATATTTTATTCAATAATTATTTATTTCATAACTAAGTTCAAATGCCATAAGAGTCTGAGAAAATAAATTAAATAAAAATATGAAACACATGACTATCAGTTAAAAGAATTTCCACAACTTGTCGGTAGGTAGAGTAAATTGAAACTTCTAGATAATGTTTAAAACGAAAATAAAATTTATGACAATTAAGTAATAAGAAATAAAAGATACTCAATTTTAAATTCATAGAAATCAAATTGCAAAAAATTCTTATCTCTTTAATAATAACAAATTAAAGTAAATTAAAAAAAATATCAATGCTAGAGAATTAGAAGAGGTAAAATTTTAGAGATGTCTATTAAAATTTTCAAGCATTTGAATTTTAATCAGTTTAATGATTTGGCAATATGAATGATGAAAGTTTTTTAAATTACTGGAGAGATAAATTAAAAGTAGTTTTTTTAGTTTAATGTTTATTAAAATTTCAATATTAAAACAAAAGAAGCAGATTATCATGGATAACGACCATAAAAATTTGGAATCAAAAATATAATTCTCTTATAAACAGGAGAATTGATGGTAATCTGTTTCGCTATATATTTATTAAATTTCATTAGATTTTAAAGATTTCTAAATTGCTATTAAATAATACCTAAATCAAAACTTCTTATAAAATTTGTTAAAAATCATAATAAATAAAAAGTTATTGAAATTATAACAAATAAAAATTACCTTTTAATAATCCTTTCAATAATCGAAGATTCTCTTTTTTACCAAGCCACTTGATAGGTTTAAAATTAAACTTTTATGATGAACTGTCGTGATTTCAAGGTAAGTATCACGGTAAAACTCATCATAGCAAAAAAGAAGTGATCAGATTTTGTTGAATTATCGAATGATCTTTAGATCAAAGCAATCTGATTTTGATTGCAAAGTTATTGTTATAAAATATTTCTTTGAAGCAAGTTGTGTAAAATAAGTTATCGTTATTAAATAAATACTATTGTTGTATTATCCAAGAGGTTATGGGCCCAGAACGCGATGGAAGGTCAAAACAAAAGTTTGGTGATGTTCGAGCGATTAAATAATAATAATATAATAATAATAATAACTCGAATTATCGAGTTTGGGCATTCCAAATGAAAATGATATTGATAAAAGAAGATTTGTGGGAAGTGATTGATCCGGATCGAAGAAGAAGGAAGACGAGACAAAAGGAATAAAGGCACTTTCTAATATTGCTCTCATGGTTGACAATGATCAACTCGTTCATATTGCAAAAGATGGAAAAGATGCATGGAAGGCTTTGAAAAAGTTTCATTTAAATGAATCTATTGGCCACAAACTGCGACTCTACAAGAAGCTTTTTAAGTCAGAATTGCCAATTGGTGTGACATGCAGAAGCATATTCAAGACATGCTTGCTATCGTTCAAAACATTAAAGATTGTGGAGACAAATTAGAAGGCACGATGGTTGTAAGCGCAATTTTGTCTAGCCTGAATTCTGAATTAAAGTCTGGTAACTGCTCTTAAATCATGGAAAGGAAAAGAACTCACGATTCAAAGTGTCAAGTTAAAGCTACTCGATGAATATGAGCGACGAAGTGATAATTTGAGCAAAGACTAGGATGCTGCAAGCAAGATTAGTGGTCAACTATTTAAGGTTGATGTGAAGGAAGCAGTTAAATGTTTCTACTGCAAACCAAAATGTCAATGAAACTGTCCAATGTTGATATTTGTGACCCGATGCCAATGACATCAGTTGGTGGATTTCGTTATTTTGTAACATTCACAGATGTTCAATCCAAGTTTTGTGCTGTATTTCTATTGAAAACCAAAAGCGAAGTACAGTAAAAGGTCATTGAATGCTTGGAACTGTTAAAAACACGTTCGATAGGAAGGTTAAAATGTTTCGTACAAATCGAGGGACTGAGTACTTAAGTGAGGATGTTCAAAAATATTTACGTTCAGAGGGTATTCGCTTTCAGTGTACTGTAGCTTACTCACCAGAGCAAAATGGTATTTCCGAGAGAAAGAACAGGACATTAGTTGAAGCATGTAGGACGATGCTTGCTGAGTCAGGTATGCCGAGAGAATACTGGCATGAAGCAATAATGAATGCCAATTACACTCTGAATCGTGTTCTGAGCAAGGACAGTGTTAAAACTTCTTATGAAATATTTTTTGACAAGAAGCCAAATTTTTCAAACTTGAAAGAATTTGGTGTTGGCGCTTATGTGATAATTCCTCATCAGAAGCGAAAGAAGTTAGATCCGAAGGCTGAGAAGCTGGTATTTGTGGGATATGAGGGATGGTCGAAAGCATATCGACTTGCAAATGTGAAACAATGGAAGATAGTTGTGTCACGTGATGTTGCGTTTCTAAAAGAAAAGTTTATGAAGATAGGTCAGAATTCATCTCATGAAATGAAGAGAACTAGCGTTTTGGTGCCATTTCCGTTTTCGTCTGGTTCTACAATTGATGTTCAAACATTCAATGATTCTGAATTGTTTTATGATGCTGAAGACTCTCAAGATGAAAATGAGGTAGAAGAGCATGAAGAAGAGATAGATCAAGAACATTTTGAACATGGAAAATTTGAGAATGACCAAAGTCAGGAAATCGTCGTTGATCATAATTTAATGAATGATCATAACGTTTCGGTTCAGGAGGAGAATGGAAGAAGTGAAGGACAAAAACCAGAACGTCTTGGTGATTTTGTTACTTATTCATCAAGAGTTGATTTTGAGCCTAAGACACTCAAACAGGCTATGAGTTGTGTTGATGCTGATAAGTGGAAAAAAGCTATGGAAGACGAGAGTAAGTCCATTAATCAAAATAAAATCTGGGATCTTGTGAAATTGCCAAAGAATAAACGTGCAATAGGTTGTAAATGGGTTTACAAGCTTAAGCGAGATGATAATGGCCAGGTGTATTCATATAAAGCAAGATTGGTTGCTAAAGGATTTTCTCAGAAGTATGGTGAAGATTATGATGAAATGTTTGGATCAGTAGCTCGATCAGCAACATATAGGATTCTCATGTCGATAGCTGGTGTTAATAATTATCATGTTAAGCAGTTTGATATTAAGACTGCATTCTTGAATGGTGATATCGAGGAGGAGATATATATGAAGCAACCACCTGGATTTGAGAACGGAAATGATGCTTGCAAGTTAAGAAAAAGCCTTTATGGTTTGAAACAAGTAGCAAAAGCATAGAATAAAATTTATCATGAAGCAGTGATTAGTTTTGGTTTTAAGCAAAGCGAAGTTGATAAATGTCTGTATAGCATGAAGAAAGGAAATAATACTTGCTATATGATTGTTCACGTCGATGACATTCTAGTCGCATCGAATAATGAAAAACTGATAGAACAATAAAGCACTTTTTAGGAATTGATGTGAAACGTGATAAAGATGGAAATTTTCATTTAAGTCAGAAACAATACATTGAGAAGATTGTGGAAGAAGCTGGACTTAATGATGGAAAATTTTCAAAATATCCTTTGATGACTGGCTATTTTAGCATCATGCTGAGAATTATTTAGAATCAAATAATGAGTATAGAAAGCTCATTGGGAAACTATTGTATATTAACACGAACACAAGACCTGATATAGCAGCATCTGTTGGAATATTGAGCCAAAAGATTTCAAAACCAACAAAGACCGATTTGATAGAAGCGAAGAGAATTATTCGCTATCTAAATGGAAGCAAGAATCTAAGTTTGAAGTTGAGTGACAAGAAAAAAGTTGGGAAATTGGAAGTTTATTCTGATGCAAGCTGGGCTGAAGATTCGTTTGACCGAAAATCTATCAGTGGTTTTCTTTGTGGAATTAATTTAGGTATTGTTTCATGGTGCAGCAGAAAACAAGACGTAGTATCGTTATCATCCATGGAAGCTGAATACATTGCACTCTCAGAAATTTGCAAAGAGCTGAAATGGGTTAAAATGTTGACCGATTCTTTTTCTGAGTTTGTCGTTCCAGATAAAATTATTCTGTATACGGACAGTCAAAGTAGTATGAAATTGATATCCAATCAGAAATTCAGCAACAAAAGCAAACACATCGATACTAAATAGCATTATGTGAAACAATTGGTTGATTTAGGAAAGATGCAACTGAAGTATTGCAGCACTGACGTAAATATAGCTGATATGATGACCATGCTGTTAGGAAATATTAAACTGAAGAAATTTACTGATGATTGTGGATTGCGTTAGTAATATTAACATAATATATCCGAAGTTAATATTAAGGAGGAGTGTTGAATTATAGAATTATCTTTAGATCAAAGCAATCTGATTTTGATTGCAAAGTTATTCTTATAAAATATTTCTTTGATGCAAGTTGTGTAAAATAAGTTATCGTTATTAAATAAATACTATTGTTGTATTATTCAAGAGATTTTAAAAACAAGGTAATTCGTTGTTTCGTTCATTTGATACAATGGTAGCAGATGTTTGATAAAAGTCAGAAGCTGTTGTAGAAATCATACTGATCATGTGGTAAAACATGGCAAATGTTTAAACAGATAACTTTACAATATCTATTGAGACAATAGGAATGCGGGTGATGGCAAATAATTTCTTTAAAGAATCTTTAACTTTAAATCTATACAGACTAACCACAATTCGAAAAGATACAGGCATGCAGTAATTCGAAAACTATGGAATGTTTATTATTTTGTTTTTCGTTTTTCTGGAAGACTTGACTAGTAGATGTTTATGATTATTTTCATTCATTTCTACAGAAAAAACTATCAACATTAAATCCAGTTCAAGTAATCATGTATCAATTGAACTTAAACCAAAACTGTCCTTAACAGACAAATGAGTATACTCATGGTACCGTAACATACTCAAGTATATATTCTGAACATACTTTTGGTACCGTAACATACTCAAGAGTATATGTTCAGAATATGTTCAGTATATGTTCAGAATATCCCCTTGAGTATGTTACGGTACCATGAGTATACTCACTTGTCTGTTAGAGTGTAGAACAGTGTATTCCAAACTATTCGTCGCTACACTTTAGAGAGTCGTCATAATTTTCCATTCATGCCCCAAAAAAGAAGGTTGTAAAATTAAATTTTGAAAACAAAAATTGACCCAAAACTGTGTCGCCAAACAAAAAAGTTTGGATTACACTGCTGTAGAACATCTGAAATTTTAAACAAAAACTTAATTGGATTATTTTTCATAGGAAATTCTCTTCTTACAAATTTTATTGTAATTAATATTTACAGTCAAATCAATGTTAATGATCAGTATATTGAGTAAATCAAACAGCGCAATATATGTACATTATATTTAAAATCTTGCATTTTTGTAGTATGTAGGTATTGAGTCAAATTATGTGGCTATTGTGTTATATTTTTCATTTAAATCATGTATTATTAATTAAAATTTTGTGGCATTTCAAATTTTTCTAAATTTTAAAAATTTTAAATTAATGAAAGAAATTTTAAAAATTTATTTAAAAAAAATTCAATGAATTTGCACATTTTGTTGGTAAGTTTGTGATAAATAATAAAGTTAAAATAATAAAAATAATAAAGAAAACAAAAATAAAATCATAATCAGAATTTTTGAATAAAGATCCATCTTCAATAAAAGTTTATTTATTCAACAAAGAATAAACTAAAGAAATAATAAAAGAAACTTATTAAATGATAATCAGTGTTTAAATTGTTATGAGAGAAGCATATTGTCCTCAACAAATATTGTTCTTTTCATTTTTATTTTTAATATAAAAAAAATATAAATTTAATTACTTTGCATTTTTTGTGCTAAATGTAATTTAAACATTGCATTTTTGTGTGTGTCAAAAATCTCTAAATTTTACCATTAATACTAAAATCACAGATAAAAAATTAAATTTTGAGTTTACTTCAAATGTATCTCAATTTAGTGTGTTTTTTTTTCAATAAATTACGCTAATTAGTTAAAATTAATTTTTTTAAACCTTTTTCGTACCTTTAATCTAACATCATGATAAAATTTAAATCAATTAAACTTCCTATTTCCTGATTTTTTGCGTCAATTTAATTTTTTATCTATGCTTCTCAATCATCTATAAAAATCATCACATATATACAGTTTACATATATCCAACACACAACAACAACAACCCATTTTCTTCTTAAATATCTTAATCGATCTTATGCAGTCATTATTTTGTTTCCCTTGACTAATCTAATAATGACCCAATAAGTAATGATTGAGCAGATTTTTTTTCCATAAAACGTGTATGACATGAGTAGAATTAAATTCCATGCAAGGAAGTCTTCCCATCCATCAATTGTAACCCGTCAAAAGGAACTTAGGATTTTTTTTTTATTTTACATTTAAATGTGTGAAAAATCACAACACTAAACGTGAACGTGACTTTGTCAGGCGAACTGTTCCTGGTGCTCGCGCATCACCTCCCCAACTTTTTGACTTTGCACGGAAAAGTTTATATTCATTGCTGAAGTTAGAGTCTAACATTTGTCGGTAGGCATGTGGTTCACACAAATTGCTGTTAGTCTCAAAGAATTCTTTATAGCCATTATGGAGCAAATAAATTTCTGGATAATGCAATGCAGGATATGGACTGGACATTCTATCGTGATTTCTTAAAAATCGTGATCTGTTGTAAAAAATGAACGATTATTAGTAAAATGTTTCGTGAGTACTGAGATGTTAAGCACTTACAATTTTGGACCACGTTCTGATGAAAATTCACAATGGAATATCAGAATATTTCGTTTTTGTCCATCACCATCAACAGCAGGTGTTTCTGTCTTCTTGCTTACTAATTCTTCGATTATTTGTTCTTGTGTCCATAAATTTAATGCGCCTCTAATGTGGCCACCTTCAAATTCATATGGATAACGGCAATCGATAACTTTGTATGAAGCTACAGAGTCATCAAATTCACCTTGAAGTAATCTGCGCATTGTTTCGGCAGATATTGATTTGAGATCTGTATGTCGTCCATCAATGAGTGGAAGACAAAATGTTTTACTAAAATCTCCAATTAAGTTCTTCTCTTCAGAAGAACGTGAAAGTGCACTCATGATTATTGCTGAATCATTCATTGATACAGACTTCCTAAGAATTGGTCTCTTTGGTTGTAAAGGTGATTGATTTATTGAAACAATTGTTGCTGAACTTGAAACTGAATTTTCACATTTGTATCGTTTACTTTGAACAGGGCTGATTGTTGGTGGTTCAGGTCGTTTGAAAGCACCTGTACTTGGATTACGAATGCTTCCAAATGGTGTTATATTGTCATTTATCGTAGCTAGACATTGCCGCTCTGGTGTTGTTATTAGTGATGTAATTGTACTTGATTTTGGGGTGGAAGGACTATTGAAAAGGTTGCTAATTGATGAATTTGTTGATGTGTCCATGTTTAGACATTTTCTTACAAATGTATTTGGCTTTTTCATTTCAGGCGTTCTGGAATTTTTAATATCTTTACAAAATAATGAATTGAGATCATTTGGCATTTGGGCATCTTCATCCATATTTTCCATTTCCATAAGTTCCATATAGTCATCATCTGGATCCATTGATTCATTTGATCCTGATGAGAGGCTATGGAAAACTTTAAAACCATTGCCCATCCGACTACTTCCATTTGATGTTAATGAGAATTTTGAAGGTGTACGATGAAGGTTTGTTGGTGAATCAATAGAAAAACTTTCAGGACATTTAGGTTTAAGGAAATTAAACGATGATGTTGATGATGAATGATTTCTTCTATTATTACTATTATTGCCAATATCCGATTGCATGGACATTGATTCGTGACTATTTGAATGCATTGCATTATGTTCAATTGTAAAAATTGACGGACTAGTTCCAGGTGATAAATATCCAATATCATCGTTATGACATGGAAGAGTGGCGCAATGTCGCGGACTCGATGCTGGGCTGTTTGAAGAGTAGAACGAAATGTCTTCCTCACTATCCATATTTCCTTTAATTGGGGAGTCACATTTGGTGTCAAAATTAATATGTTGTGGAATTGTGTTGCGTCTTCGTTGAACTCCACGAGACTGTTGTTGAATTTGTCGTGTTGCGGGTGATATTCCAGCGGAATCAATAGTGAATGTGTTTGAGATCAATCTAAAAAGAATTGTAGAGAAATTAGGTCAATTAAATTGTTTTCATGGAGCTTGTCAAAATAATTTCTCATATAATTCAATCTGAAATGTCAACGATATCATCTTGAATGCTTTTAAAGTATATGGAAATATATGGTGATGAATAAATAGTTTAGAAGTTCAATGTGTTGAATAAAGTGAGAATGATAAGTAGTAGAGCATTTGAAATGTTGAAAGGAAGAAAACATATGCTATAAAGACTAGAAATACATAAATTTTAGAGATCATAGACCCCAAAATAGATATACGCATAACTACAAACAAACCTTAACTAACACAAATTGTTCATTTTTTCTTTGCTCATCAATGGAGTGAGCATTTCATTCTCTTTGGGGTGGAAAATGATCTAATTTTAGAAATTATAAAATGTTAAAGAAAATATCCCCTTGTTTTAAGGAAAATAAAGTAAGTTCAATAAAGTTCATGGAAAAAAGTAATTTTTTTTTGATCAGACAGCTGTTCCTAAAATAATTCAATATTTCCTTCATTATAGTTGTGAAGTTTGCTTACTGCATTCATGTCATTGATCTATAGGGGGTTTGAAATACAATTCTTCTTGTGTTTGTATGCATTCATCACATATATTCAATAAAGAATTTTCGGCATTTGTAGTAAATAAAGTTTCTTCTTTGCTTTCTTAATTTTGTTTATACTGGTTAGAATTTAATTGATAAGAATGAATGAGAACATTACTGTTAACGTATTCCAACCTGTATTGATTTATTCAGAAATTAACGTGGGATCAGAAAACAGTGGAAGAATATACGAATAAAATAAAAATAAAAACTATGTCAAAATTTGTCTGAATGAAGCGTGAAGTCCATTTACGGAAAGTCTGGAAGATATCACTGCGGCGAATACCGTGGGTTTTGTAAATAATTCTTGACCTGCATCAAATTTAAATGAATAGGTTGTAAGAAATTTTGAGCAGCAAGCAGTAAAGAATTCGATGATTTTATAAATATATAATAAAGAGATAAAATTTCTCGTAAATGAAAGAGAATTAATCTTGTAAAGAATATTCTGAATATATGTATAAAGCATGGATAACAAGGAAGAAAATGTGGCAACAATGCACCGGATCCATAATTGTACTATAATTCTACGCTTATTGAAATTTATAAGTTTGAATAATTAGCTTGGTAAAGAGGAAATAATACATTCAACATGCAGGAGAAATTCACGGTCTGAGAGCACTAAAGAAATTTTATGTAGTTATATATTATTGCATGAAACATAGGAAGTACGAATAGCAGAAGGAAAAGAAATATTTCTTGCGAGGAGAACTTTTTTTTTTCATTTCTTTAACGTCTGGCTGAAATGTTAAATATAAAAAGGTAAGAACAAACAGTGAGCATTGTGCAAAGGGAATCAAATTGTTTAACTTTTTCTTTTTCTTTTCAGCTGTTAGTATAGTTCCAAAACGACTTTTGAAATTGTTCTAAAACTCATTTTCTTAAAGGAATAATCTTTAGCATAAGATTCTGTAAGACTAGCTAAGTTTTTAACAAATAAATTTTGGTAATTTCTAATTTCTATTTTCTTAAAAAATGAATTTTCTGAGATTATCTTAAGCCTCGTTTTCACTTGAATATATTCTTTGCATTTTTTTATTTTTAATCCTTTTTCTTGATTTTTTTGCATTCTTTTCTTAAAAAATTCTTTTGTGTCTTGACCGCAGACAATCAGATATCTGCACATAATTTTTGTTTCAAGGAAAGTGGTCAGATATTTTTCTAAAGATAAGCATGTAAGAAAAAGGTTTCTTTTAAATGAAAAAAAAAAAAATCCACAATTTTAAAGAAAGATGTCCTTTTTCCAGATGTACGAAACACATTTCAAAATCGAAGAACATTTTAAAGCATTTTGTTTGAATAAAATCCTACCTTGTGCATTCACATAATTCTAAATCGTATTCATTAACACCGTCCAACATTTTGATATATATATTTTTTTTTATAAAAATTCTTAAATTTTACACTACACGAATTTTTTTTTTTTCTTAAGAAATTATCTTTCTAAGTTTTAGATTCTCTTTGAATTATTTTTTAAGAGAATTTAGGTGCTATCATAAATCCATTTTCACTTATTTTTTTTTTATCCTTAGTTTTTATCAATTTTAATATGATTTTATTTCATCTAGAATTTATTTTATATTAATTTATGTTCTTTTATGAGTATTTCTTTCACAAAGTCCTTGGCATTTTTTCTTTCTTCATATAATATAACTCTCTTATATTATTATCTTTTGTGTACAACCGGCATACAAAAAGTTTTTTTTTTGAAGAGAGAAAACTTAAAGAATATATTACACACGAGAGCAGATGTTGACTCGTCGAGAACTACTTTACGAATAAAATTTGTAGACGATCGTGTTTTTGGTTTTATGCTGCATGTCTACTTGTGTTGGTGCTATGTGAAAGCAAAGGGACAATCCTTAAATGTATGCGTTATCTACATTGTATGTACATGAAAACATTTCACAGTTGGAGTAAATAGAATCCCGATCGTGTTAAAACTTCTTGTAATTTCTTTCTATGTAGCATAAAGTTATGCTAGTAAATGTATTTTTCAAAAAGTTATGTTGAGGGAAGAAAGACAGAAACATACATAAAATAAAAATCAGTTTTAAATTGAATTCTTCTTTAATTTTTTTTTATTATGTACAGCGTTTCAATACTTAATTTAATTCTTTTGATTGTATTTTCTTTATTGGTCAAATAAGAATTTCCTTTTAAACTTTCTATAACTTCCGTATTTAAGAATTAATATCAAATAAGTCAATCGATTATGATCAATGTCAAATTAAGTCAGATTTGGAATATATAAACGACATTCAAATCACATAAATTTTGGACATCTTCGTCGTGGAAAAAACTTGAATATTAATAAGAAGACAAAAAAAAACGCGGGATTGCACAAAATACCCCTTCAAAATTATGTACTCACCTCTCATATTTCCTCAATCTTAGACTTGAATGTCTTTAAACTTTTTATTTTCTTATATCATTCTCTACATACAATCAAATCTTCAAGGAAAAAATGGTAAAGTCAAAACGAAGAATGAGAAGAAGAACAACAAAAAATGTTCCTACAAGTTTCTGTCTGGATTGATCATAAGTTTTTCATAAAGGTATTTGACAAAATTAAAATCTGTTCACTTATGTACAATTTTTAGTTTAAATGCTAGGAACAATAAGTCAAATATGTACTTGAGAAATGATGAAGAAAACTTGAAGTAATTTTTGGTGCTTTTGTTTTCAAACAAAGGGGTTTGTTATATTTTTGCTTGAAAAGAAGCTACAATAACGATTATGCAGTAAGTTTTTATTTAAATTGAATTTGTCCAAGCTGCACATCAATGTCTGGATCAAAATCTTGATTTAAATTCAGTAATTGCTAAAAACTTAAACAAAAGAATAGAATCTAACAAGAGCTTGAAAATAAATCAACGAAAGACATTGTTTCAATCAGCTGATTACAAGATTGTGCTTAGTTCCTCATTTATTGTTTCATCTTGTATTTGAAATAAAACAAAAGACCTCTCATCAATTTATTTATACATAAGTACTTTTGTTGGTATTAAACATACATGATATAGAGATCTGGACAAAGTTTCATATATGTATGTATCAATTGCTTGTTCCTTTAACAAATGTGTAATACAAATCTTAATAGTTCCTTTAAAATTCCATAATGGCTCATCTACCAGAACATCAAAGCCCATATGATGACATTCATTAAATGGAATAAAATTTAATTAAAAGTTAAGCATCATGTACTCATGATGATCTCTTATCATCATTTTTCATTTTATATATGAATGTATTTCTGAATATTCCATGTTCTCTCTTGCTGCTCTTTTATAATTTCAAGTCCCACATTCTTAGAATCAACAACAATCAAGAAGAATTTCTGGCAGGCACGTAGAAAAGACACAAAAGTCTTCTTTATAAAGACTGAATATAATTTTTTTAAGGAAAATAAAGAGAACTCAAAAAATTCTCACGAGTGAGAATAAAGAAGTTTCTGTTGACACAATGAGGTGGTAAATTTATTAAAATTAATATCGCCACATCCCCCAAATTTGATGACAATTACCTAATTATCGATTTACAATGATACTAATCATTATCAGCCTCTTTGATTAATTATTTGATTACCTAATCTATTTAATCACTTATCGATTTATGACTTATTAGGTATCATAGTTTTGATTGCCATCTGATCAATTAGGTAGCAATTTTATAGATTGGCTATCCTTAAAGACAGAAATCAGCTTTAAGTTCAGAAAAACCTCTGACTTTGATGTTATAATAACCTTTAAATATAAAGATGATCTTCATCCATAAACAATGATATATGATAACTCTTCTAGTTTAATATTAGGCATTATTCATGGAAATGTTATTGACCTTATACCGCATAGTGATGGATGCTAGAGGAATAAAGTTTTATACCTGGGAAATATACATACTGAATAAAAATACTTTTTTCTACACATATTATGCTATTATTTGGAAGATTTTTTTTTATCTTGACAAGGGATCTAAGTTGATGCTAGCAAATTAAGAAGCATGTAATAGTTCCGCGTGTGAACGAATTTTCATTTTTTTTAAAGCATATGATGGCAACCAGCAAGGAAAAGATTATGAAGCCCATCTTGTGGGAAAACAAGGAAGAGAAACTTAAACTTACCTGGAAAAAATTTTCTCAACATATTAAAATTATTTCTTAGATATTGACAACTCTCCCTATTTAAAACTGGATATGTTTATACAAACGCTTCTTGATTTCTTCCTTAAACATTCTCAATTGTATCTAAATTGAAATCCGTACAAAATTTGAAATATATACTTCATTATTATGGCTAATTTTTTTTAATGCAAGTTCTAGTAACAAAGCGCATTTTAACCATTTTGAACCTACAATAGAAACTATTTGATAATTTGATCGGTAAAGTTTGTAAGAGATGGATCAGGTATTAAGAATTCTTATAAAAAATTTCCCACATGAAAGAGCAAATTAAGGCATAAACTGTCCTATTATTTTTTCTGGAGGAGCTAGAGGTTTAAAATGCTAAAAGTTGACAAAACATCGTACAATGTAGGGCGCACATTTTAGAAAATATAAAGGAAAGTATTTAACAGGGTAGTTCCAGGTCGTGATCGTGATCGTCGTGATCGTTTCGATCATGATCGGAGAAAATTCGATCAAAAGCAGAGAGTTGATTGATTGAGCGACGATCAATTTCAATCATTCTCAGAAAGATCGTCGATGAATCAATCAAAAATTGCAAGTTTGGTCGAATGATCGCAGATAGAATTAATCATTGACCCTACTCAACTACTCAACATATTATTAAAAATATCATTGATCAATTTGATCTTCGATCATTCGATCCGATCATTAACCGATCATTTGATGAATCCTGCTATTTAATAGACTTAGAACCGCAATTTCGATGTGATCCCAGACGGCAAAAACCTTTGCTCCGTCACTGAATGCAAATGCAAATAGATAAAAAGTTTTGAAGGATGAAACTATTGATTTACTTTTAGTATACTTCAAGAAAAATGTATATTGAAAATAATATCATAGGAATAGAAGGACAATACTGCAAGTCAAGACTTTGCAATAAGAAACATCTTTCTTACTTCTTGTAGATTCATATAAGCTTTGATTTAACGTATCGAAGAAAAAGTAATAAAACTTATAAATTTTGTTGCAATTTTATCTGCCTAGAGTTGTATGAATGATGCTTGTTTTTTTGAAAAGACGATCTTATATCATTGACAAATATGTTGGCAAAAAATATTGAGAAAAAAAAATCTGCATCTGCTCGGTTTTTGGTTTAATAGCAATGGTAGTCTATACCATTAATACTAGAGTGTATAGACGAAAATCAGCATCAGATTAGGGTGCAATTGCTTTTGGGATGGAAAAAAATAATTTATATGTTGAGTAGAATAACAATAGTCCTTTTCCAAAACTTGTCTCGTGCCATAAAAAAGGGAGAGTATATTCAGTAGAGGGATTCTTTAACAGTTGTGGCAATATCGACCTTATATGCATCAGGAATAAAGCTGAAAATTCCATCTATAGCTTTTTAAAAGAGGGTTTGAAAGGTTCATTAAACTTCGCGCGCAACATTTTTAAGCGGAATTTCCATCTGACGCATATGAACTATTTTTTAAACATGCACATGCTTATTTATATTTTTCAAAGTTTTGGCGGATATGACTTTTTAAATTAGCATGCATATGACTTTTACTACAAGAATAAAATTTTATATTACCAAGATTGTTAATTAAAAAAAGGTTTTGTTTTTAATTTGAAACTATTTTGATACAGGACTACAGATTTTTGCAAGCATGCCATAAATTGAAATCCTGCATTCTTTTTGAATTACATATCAATGCCAACTGCATCTTTTCATGCAGAACTCCGTATAATGGTTTTACTCGACATCCCTTAAGATCGACATCCCTTAAGAAAACTTTCTTCAATCTAACACCTTTCCATATGCCTTATTTCATTTTTATTTTTAAATTAATGAACGGTATTGTTCACCAAATTCTATCCCCTAAAAATAACGTTTCCTAATTTTTGATAAAAACACATTTAACGTAAATATTTCAAGATATGTTATATTATTTTAAAATTTCTTTTAAGATATTGCCAAATTTAAGTTCCATGTGCTTAGAATGTGATTGAAGTATTAAATTCTAATACAAAATCAAGAACAAAATTTGAATTAACTAGTGTATCGGGTAGAAACCCAATGCGGATTATATTCACACCGTACTATCATAAGTCTTATGAATAGACCAAGATTTGCCCATCATAAGTATGAAGGTATGAAGCTTGATAAGTCAACTAAGCTTCGCTCAGCATAAGTTTGAAGTTATAAAGCTATCGCGTAAGCTGAGCTACGCTCAGCATAAGTTTGAAGATATGAAGCTAGAGAGGCAGCTGAGCTTCGCTCAGCATAAGTTTGAAGTTATAAAGCTATCGCGTAAGCTGAGCTACGCTCAGCATAAGTTTGAAGATATAAAGCTAGAGTGTCAGCTGAGCTACGCTCAGCATAAGTTTGAAGATATGAAGCTAGAGAGGCAGTGGAGCTTCGCTCAGCATAAGTTTAAAGATATAAAGCTAGAGTGTCAGCTGAGCTACGCTCAGCATAAGTTTGAAGATATGAAATTAGAGAGGCAGTGGAGCTTCGCTCAGCATAAGTTGAAGTTATAAAGCTATCGCGTAAGCTGAGCTACGCTCAGCATAAGTTTGAAGATATAAAGCTATCGAGTCAGCTGAGCTACGCTCAGCATAAGT